TTTCCAACAAACTCATTTTACAGCTGAACAGTACACTAAAACAGTGGTTCTCAACTGGTCCAGATAGCTCCTTAGGCATTAGTTCAAGGTCCACACAGGGATAAATTCAGCATCATACTTGCATTTGGCCATGTCGTCAAGTTTGCTAGACAGCTTGGCTGAATCCAAATGTCCACCCTCTGGACTTGTTGACTGAGCCCTTGTGAACTTCAGTTGTATGTAGTGTGACTGTAATATTTACTGTCATCACATAACGTCTGCAAGGGCAGAGACTGCAAGCGGCTGATAGACAGCCCTCCAGACTGTTTTATGCGTTGCTGTGGAAATGTGCAACTATTGCTGCTGTCACATTCACATATATGTCACAGAAGTTGATGAACAGTGCTGAACTCATCTGTTTCTGCAGATAACAAGATATGACTATACAAAAATGTATTCATACATCTCTATATAACAGGCTGCAGCGTTCAAAAACAGAAATGTTTGTAACTAAGGACAGAACTATAACTCAATAAATTGGATATAACTGACATTAGAAACCTTCTTTTGTTGTCTTTCAGCCAATTTTTAGCCTATTACACTACACAACCTGATAGGCAATAATAAAATACTTTCTCAGTCCCTCTACAGCCTAGACTTATACATATCTCTGTATCATGATGTGGTTGAATATCATTTCTGGCCAAGTTACATTTTTAATAGACCTAACTATCAATAACTATTTTACACATCCATAAGTCTGCACCCCAACCAGACTCTCTGGAAGTCTTCAGAAAGTCCACTTGAGGCCCCTTGTGAACTGGATGAATTGTAGCTTTGGACAGCCCTAAGCACTCCCAGACTTCCCGGGAGTGCTTACACAAAGGCTGCAAGTCTGCAAGTGTGGACATTTAGGCTGAATCCAAATGTCCGGACTTCACCTCACTTGCAGACTCACGGACTTTGCGTAAGCACTCCCGGGAAGTCTGGGAGTGCTTAGGGCTGTCCAAAGCTACAATTCATCCAGTTCACAAGGGGCCTCAAGCGGACTTTCTGCAGACTTCCAGAGAGTCGGCTTGGGGTGCAGACTTCAGCAGACTTCATTAATTTAATAACCCACAATTCATTGCAATACAGATGTGATGTGGGTTTTTCAACTGCAGAAAAAAAATCTCATAAATGTGTATAATAGTTATTGATAGTTAGGTCTATTAAAATGCTACTTGATAATATTCAACCACATCGTGATAATGACTGAAAATGTATTTTATTATTGCCTCCTATCAGGCTGTGTAGTTAAATAGGGGAAATAATGGCTGCAAAACAGCAAAAGACGGTCTTTAAATGTCAGTAATACCCAGTTTATTGAGTTAAAGTCGTGTCCTTTGTTACGAACATTTCTGTTTTTGAACTGTGTAGCCTGTTACATAGAGATGTATTAATAGCCTACATTTTTTTCAGTCACAAAAAGGCTCTACATGGGATCGCAGACTTTACGTGATGACTGTAAATACGTCCCATTACGTACAACCGAAGTCTGTGAGGGCTCAGTCCACAAGTCCAGAGGGTGGACATTTGGATTCAGCCCTAGTTTGGTGTCCGTCCGTTAGTCACTCACTCTAAAGCAGGAAACAGCACTTCAAAATAAAAACTTTGTGCCGGAAATTCACTCTACTTCAAAATAAAATGTGTGTTGCAGTTGCAGTCCATTCAGGATGGACCCACGACATACTTTTGGACCGCGACCCTCCAGTTGGGAACCCCTGCACTAAAATATGTTTATGAAAAAATCTGAGGCGAGAAAAAGGAAATGCAGTAACAGAATCTTGATTGATATTTGATCAGCGCTGCCTTGTTTGACAGTTCGACCACAGCTACCAGCAATGACTGACTTGATTGACAGCTGGGTCAGAGACTGCTCGGCTCTGATTGGTTGTTTTCAGTGCACCGTGGTAGATTCTAGGGAATGCCATCAGAAGCAGTAGGAAGAGGAGGAGGGAATTAAATCATAATCAAGTGTAATAAGTTGCATTATTTTGATGAAGCAGTTAAAATAGTTACATTACTCATTACATTTTTAATAGGGTAACTTGTAATCTGTAACTAATTACATTTTTAAAGTAGCCCTTCCATACAACTCTGCCCATCTTCATATCCACAGCTCCCATATCTGCCAGACACTGTTTTTCCCTGAGGTATGCCAGCTGCAGATGATTTTAGTTTTGGACGTGATGCAACACAGACATACAACGTGTGGGACCAGCCTCTCATTGGGCCGAAATCCACCACAACAGACAATAGGCCCATTGTCACCGCAGACATTTCGACATGTCACAGCAGCACAAGCACAGGTGTTATTAATAACTTTAATAAAGGATGCACTTGTGTTGTGTGTTGTAGCTCCAGGCCCCTCGTAATGAGCTGGCTCATTGGCATGGCTTTATTAATAAAAGAAAGCCGTCATTATTTATATCAGTTCATCTCTGTTTTCTCTACTGTGACAAGTTTAAACATCTGCTGTGAAAAAATTAAATGTCACAGACAGTTAAAAGAAAACAAGTAAAAAAAACGGAGTCAACTCAACAGTTATTCATTAACTGTCCACATATGGAGAAATTTTTATAATCTAGGAAACTATTTGCTGGAGAAACTCAATACACAGCATGAGTGCTATCCTTTAATCATTGTAAATCTATACAATATTCTCAGATGTTGAATTGATAAGATGAGATGCCTCTATAAAGAGTCGTGAGAAGTTTTCTTATAGATGTGGACGCTTATCAGACCCTCTGAAAACAAAGCGCATGAGATATTTGCCCGATGTGTCTTGATTTATCACCATCTCAGCTACTTGTTGGTGAAGATTCTCACTCATCCAGGTCGATACGATACAATACAGCATTTAAGGTCTCATCTATTGTGTTCTATTATTACATTACTGGAGAATATAGTCAGCAGATTAATCCATAATGAAAATAATCATAAGTTAAAGTTACATCATTTGAGACACTTTTGGTAGATTCCCAAGAAAACCTCCTAAAATTATTGTAGAACTTTTTATGTATCTATATATGTATATGTATGTATCTATGTATGCTATATTTCTATAAAGACAGTAAGTTGCCAAGTAAAATACTTAAACCTCCTGAGACCCTGCATCCTCACATGAGGACATTACAACTTGGATTTGCAGCACCTGCATTTTGTTTAAGTTAAACCTGTTGTTATTGTTTGTGGACTTTTTTGTGCCATCTAATAGTAGCAAAAGCACAGTTCACTAATCCTGTTGTTCCTAACCTTGGGGGCCCAACCACCATTAGGAGTCCCCAGAGCTTCATAGGGTTTATGAGGTTCAAGAAATCCTTAAAAAAATAAAATAAAATAGTCCTTTTTCTCGTTATTTCATGTATTTCTCTGAAGTAAACTGAATGAATTTGTTAATTTCAAAGGCTAGATATAAACTTAAGCCCCACGGGATAAGGGCATTGTGAAGACCTCAGCCTTTATTTGCAGAGCCTTTATTCTCTGCTCAACAGTGTCATCATGCATTTGTGAAGTACAAAGTTAAAACAATCAAAGTGCTTAAAGAACAATGGCCAAGTGTCAGGGAGAAGAAAATACTTAATTTGTCAAAAAAAAAAGAAGCCTATTAAAAAATCGTTTGGATATTTCACATTCAAAATTTGAGGAACCCAAGATATAAAACCTCTTTTGTCCCATTTTACTTGACTCTACCCTATGAATAAATTCTACAATTCTACAACAGTAAAATCCCGTTTTTACATTCATGCATGCGTAATAATAATCTAATGATATATAATACTATAACAGTCACAGGGGACATTTTGGTTTTGCTTTTTCTATACTCACATACTTTTACTTACTTTTACTTTTACTTGTAACAGACTAATTTGCAGAGTGGTACTAGTACTTTTACAGAAGTAAAGGATTTCAATAGGCTGTATCTTCCACCACCTTTTTTAAAGTCAAATCTTTATTGACAACACAGAAAATACAGAAACAAAGAACTCATTAATCAAGATCAAGATCTGGATTAACTTTATTGTCCTACAGAATGAGACATTTGTCTTGGGCCCTACACCCATACTGCAGCCATAGAAATACAACATAGTACATGGACAAATCAGCATTATACCCATTGTAGAAATTAGAAACATAGAAAAGATAAATAAATAAATAATATCTTACACTAAAAATCCCTCTACAAATATGCAAATCAGCAAATCATCATAATCCAATGCAAGATATGGTTTTATCTGCCATTGTTTAAAAGCTGTACAGCCAGAGGTGTGACTGAATTTTACAAACAACATCAGAACAAGGGAACCTTTAAATGAAAACATTAAACAGGGAGCACAGATAGATTATTTTGCAGCTTTCTTATTTTTTTTGTCAAAAATGGTTTTAATGTACTGTTTAATTTCATGTTCAAATGCTAAAAATAAAGGGTTAGAGTGGCTAAATTTGGATTTATGAATAGCCTATGATACTTTGCCAGAATGATCATCAAATTGATTCTATTGTTACTGTGAATACAAAACAGTATATTTTCCCAATGAGGAGAAAATTCAGAGTCAGTTTTATCAGCTACCAGGACACAGCTTTCTAAAATTGCTTAGTAGGATCACTGCCAAAAAAGGTGCAGTGCAGCATGATTTATAGATACATTTCACCAAATGAACAGTTAACTCAAATGTCTTTCTTCAACATAAGAAGATAATGGCCTGCAGGATGATGTGTGTATTATTTTGAAGGACACTTTCCTTACTTTAGCAGTAAGGAGGTATTTGTGTGGAAGATTCCAAATATTTCTCCAATTCAAGTCACTAACAAAGCAGCAGGAGTGCTAATGACATATTTTTGATTTAATGAATGCATGTTCAGGTTATAATTTGTTAGGGTACTAGTCAGGGGCCTGTGTCTCCAACACGTGGCCGACAGAGGTGACTGTGACCGGGTCATGAGCTGTGAGCGCCGCGGTGCAGCAGCGGCCCCCGGTGGTCAGACGCTGTAACTGCACCGTGTGCATGAGGACAGTCGAAGATGGCGACAGGAGTCCTTCACAGAGTCAGCGGTGGTCTGGGTCGGGCTAAAAGCAGGGCCCAGTCGGCCGGACAGCTCGTCGTATGGAGCAGGTGGGACAGTGTACAGTGTACATGTGGAGTTATCGTGTCTGTGGTGTCTGTAGTCCGCTGCTGTATCTGTATTTCAGCAGGTTTGTGTGGTGGCTATGATGAGCTGGGGCTAGCTAGCCCGGTAACAGCTAGCCAGCCCTCAGTGGCCTTCAGCTGTGTCTCACAGCAGAGCTTCACCTTAAACACTTTGGTTTGACATGTTTAACTGTAAAGCTGCGTGTTTGAGGGTGGCGGTGAAAGAGTACAAGTTTCTGTCATCTTCTGTTACTGAGCATCCCAAATGTTCAAGGTCAATTTGATTTGTTGTGTAAATGCGATGCTCATGTATTAAAGCAGTGTGTAATACTGAAGGATGCACAGTTAGCAGTGGAGCAGGAAGTGCTCACATCTGATAGGAGAAGCAGCAATACTACAGTGTAGAAATACTCTGTAAAAGTCATGCAGGTAACATTTTAATAGCATCAAGATGCACTTAAAGTCTTGCCTCCAGTGTACTGACACATAAATAGACACAACAGCTGAGAACAAGGACAACACAGCTGGACAAATAAAGGTAAAACATACACAAATATGGAAAGAATAGATGAAAATATAAATGTTATATAAGTATTTACAAAAAGCACCAATGCCCAACTATTAAAAAATTCAATGTCTACACCCACTTCAAGTGTCCTGTAGGTTGTAAACTATACAGTTGGTGCAGAGACATTAATACCAAGTGTGTACACATGGACTGCATGATTAATTACAGTGTACTGTACATACAGCTTGCAGGGTGTATATTGACAGTGACAGGTGATATGTACAGTGAAATTATGATCAGAATAATTCTAATTTTTATATGATCGGATAATAATTATTGATGCTTTCATGTGAGCGTCACTTTAGTGTTGCAGCTAAATTTTTATTACTTTATATGCTGCTCAGTAGCTTGTGTATTGTCGCAGGTGTAAATATCCTATCTTATTATACTATTATATCATAACACATTATATTTTATGTGTTATATACACATTACACATGCTTATACTATGTAATTATTCTTTTGTCTGTCATTACATAATTATACTATGTGGTATAATTAGATATATCGGCCTGTATACATGTACATGAACACATCCTTTACATTAATACCGTGTAACGCTCCTGTGCGGTTTCCTACTGTGCTATATTTAACCACTTAGTGTGCAATAAGATTTATATATTTATATTTTTCTAGTAAAATAACTACACTACATTTCAGTTATCCCATGCAACTATCAATCACATACACTCTCTGTATAAGTGAACTGTGTGTAAAGCATTAATGGATTTATATTATTTTATTTTACTTGTATTTTGTTTGTATTTTTATCATATTTTTAACTTTATTTAGCACTCAGCCACTTTTTTTTTTTACCCTTTTCTCTTGCTGTTGACTCTTGGGTTGCTGTAACGTGTGAATTTTCCTGGTGTGAGATAAATTTATCCTATCTTAAGAATACATCATATTTGTCCATTATATCTTGTATTATTTATCTGAATCTGTAACGTAACTAGTAACTAAAAACTTAAAGTATCATAAATAAAGTGGAGTAAAAAGTACAATATCAGTATTTGCCTCTGAATTGTAGTAGAGTAAAATAATAATGTAGCAGAAATGGAAATGCCTCAAAACTGTACCTGAGTAAATGTGTTAAATTAATTTCCACCACTGACTGTGGGATGCTGTGACCTGCTGGATCACAGTGTGTAAACTAAACGCATCAGAGGTGCTGACATTTCAAGCCTAGTCTGTATTTTGACTGAAGTATTGTAAAATCTTTCTGCATAGTGACTGCTACAAATCTGATATGAAGTGTTATTATAATTTCTATCAATGTAGTTTGCAGGCACATGTAAGTCATTCCACTTGAGTGCACATCTAACATCTGTTAGAAATCAAGATTCGGAACCAGTCTTGCCCCAGATTCACACTGGTCTCACCCATCCAGTTGTTGTTCATTGTGACTTATGTGTGTTTGCAGGGGATTTGCAGCATCAAGCAGCAGAAACGGAAAGGACAGCTGGTTCAAGTCACTGTTTGTGAGGAAAGTTGATCCCAGGAAAGACACACACGCCAACCTACTGACCAAAAATGAGGAAAATAATCTGTACAAAATTCAGTGTAAGTTCACATCACAGTATCTGTACTTCAAAATAAACCATTTATCCTAAAGCAGTGATGACCTTGTTCTGAAGTATGACCTTCTTTTTCAGTCCATAATGTCAAGCCAGAGTGCCTGGATGCATACAACAAACTGTGGTGAGTGTTATTTAATATCACTGTCCAAGCTGCACACTGTTATCAGCTTGTACTTAAGCAACAGTAGTAGCAGTTGTAGTAATATGAGACCAGGACGGTATAGTACGCAGTTGTAAAAACATCTCTGAGCAGTCTATTCCTGTGAGGTGATTGACAAGCTGGCATGACTTCAGTCCTCCACAGACTAACCTCTCTCATACCTAAGATGACTGGGGGCTGTCTGCTGCTATTTGAGGACTATATTTGGTCTTGCAACATTAGACAGATGACATGTGACCAGAAAAACATGTGATTGTTTCTGCATTTTGTGGTATGAAGTGGATTTTGCCTTAAGGAGACTTGACTGCTAATTAAAATCAAATGTACTTGTGGTTAAACTGGATTTCAGTGTTTGTCTCATTTTGTCATTCATCACAGCGAGGATGTTTTGCCCTCCATCCATGCTGATAAGTACTACCCCTGTGAGCTGGTGGGCACCTGGAATACCTGGTATGGAGAACAAGACCAGGCTGGTAGGATTACTAATATCAACACACAGACATCTGCAGTGTGGCAGGTCTGCGGTCTGCACAGGTTGCAAATCAGCAGACATGTTACGCTACATATGACTTGCATGCACATATACCACCCTAGGGAAGCTATTGTACTACCTATATATGAGCATACCTGTCTTCCAGGGTCAGTCATTTTATTCTTCTCACTCCACAACTACATTATATTGCATGAGTTGTTAGTAGCACAATGCAATATTGACTTAGAAGGGCACTTGGAGATCTCAGACCTCTGCTAAGGCTAATAGTCCAGTCTTCTATGATGGGCAAATCTGCAAACTCAATTTTTATGTCTGGGTAAATGTTCAAAATTGTTAGAATTATGCCAAACTCTGGGCTGTCCTGAATGCTTCATCAAAGCTTCAGCTTCAGTGAAATATTGTGGCGGGATTAATGAGAGACGAGGACATTAGCCACGTCTCTTGAAACATCAGTTTTTAGTCGATGCACCCAAAAGAAAGTCACAATTAGCCACATTGTTAGCATGCAAGTTGCAGTAACATTAGCCATAATAGCTACGTAGAAAATGGAGTACTTTGCAGGACAGGTGAGATGTCACTTTGAGATTTCAGGTGACTTTGCCAAGCTTGTTGTAGGTTTGTGATGTGCCAGTTTCCTTTGGCATGTCTGGCACTCGAATTTTTGGAAGTCATCTTGGTTAATTTTTAAACTGTTCTTGACGCTTACCTTTTCGATAACGTGCTGGGTCATGTGTAGGCCTGTCACGTGACTGTTTCAGTTTCAGTAATGCTGGACTGCTGGTGACTAAGGTTAGATAAGAGCGAGCCAGAGTCACAAAACTATCACCAAGTTTAAATGTCTTTGTCTGAGATTAACTCATAATAATTAACGTTGTTGCATAATAAATGTTGGATTACTATTTCTTAATTCATGGGCTATTTGGGATTTTTGGGGTAATGTGTATTTATGCATTCGAGTCAGCACTACTAGCTGAAGCCTCATCATCTCAGCTGTGCATTTATCATGTACATTGTAAATTTGAAATGTTTCACATGCTTGAAACTTATTTGTGAAAACCAGAAAACACTTTATTATCACGTACATATGTACAGTTATCAAATGCTTAGTCTAAAACGACATGATATACAGTCAGGTCCATAATTATTTGGACAATGATGCAGTTGTTGTCATTTTGGCTCTGTACACCACCACAATGGGTTTTAAATGAAACAATGAATACCTGCTTAAAGTGCAGACTCTCAGCTTTCATTTAAGGCTTTTTTCAAAAATGTAGTATGAACCGTGTAGGAATTACAACCATTTCTTCACACAGTCCCCCGACTTTAAGGGCTCATAAGTATTTGGACAAACTAACATAATCATCAATTAAACAGTCAGTTTTAATACTTGGTTGCAAATCCTTTACAGTCAATGACTGCCTGAAGTGTTGGACACATAGGCATCATCAGATGCTGGGTTTCTTCCCTGGTGATGCTCTGCCAGCCCTTTACTGCAGCCGTCTGCACTTCCTGCTTGTGTTTTGGGTGTTTTGCCCTCAGTTTTGGCTTCAGCAAGAGAAACGCATGCTCAGTTGGATTCAGGTCAGATGATATGACTTGGCCATTGCAGAACATTCCACTTCTTTGCCTTAAAAATGTCTTTGGTTGCTTTTGCAGTATGCTTCAGGTCAATGTCCATCTGCACTGTGAAGCATCGTCCAATGAGTTTTGAAGCATTTGGTTGAATCTGAGCAGATAATGGTGCCCCAAACACTTCAGCTTTCATCCTGCTGCTCTTGTAAGCAAGACAAGACTTCACTAGAATAAATACAGAGGGTTTATCACAAGATGCAAACCATTGGTTAGCCTTAAAAATGGAAGGCCAGATTAGAGTTTGTCAAAAACCATCTAAAAAGCCTGTACAGTTGTGGAACAGCATACTATGGACAGATAAAACAAAGATCAACTACCAGAATGATGGGAAGACAAGAGAAGGAAGAAGGGAAGGAACTGCTCATGATCCAAAGCACACCACCTCATCAGTGAAGCATGGTGGAGGTACTGTTATGTCATGGCCATGTATGGCTGCCAGTGGAACTGGTTCTCTTGTATTTATTGATGATGTGACTGCTGACAAGAGCAGCAGGATGAAAGCTGAAGTGTTTGGGGCACCATTATCTGCTCAGATTCAACCAAATGCTTCAAAACTCATTGGACGATGCTTCACAGTGCAGATGGACATTGACCTGAAGCATACTGCAAAAGCAACCAAAGACATTTTTAAGGCAAAGAAGTGGAATGTTCTGCAATGGCCAAGTCATATCATCTGACCTGAATCCAACTGAGCATGCGTTTCTCTTGCTGAAGCCAAAACTGAGGGCAAAACACCCAAAACACAAGCAGGAAGTGCAGACGGCTGCAGTAAAGGGCTGGCAGAGCATCACCAGGGAAGAAACCCAGCATCTGATGATGCCTATGTGTCCAACACTTCAGGCAGTCATTGACTGTAAAGGATTTGCAACCAAGTATTAAAACTGACTGTTTAATTGATGATTATGTTAGTTTGTCCAAATACTTATGAGCCCTTAAAGTCGGGGGACTGTGTGAAGAAATGGTTGTCATTCCTACACGGTTCATACTACATTTTTGAAAAAAGCCTTAAATGAAAGCTGAGAGTCTGCACTTTAAGCAGGTATTCATAGTTTCATTTAAAACCCATTGTGGTGTTGTACAGAGCCAAAATGATGACAACTGTATCATTGTCCAAATAATTATGGACCTGACTGTATGTGTATTTATGTTTTAAAAGCAACATCTTAGATTGAGGAGCATTGTTACAATTGTACCTGTTCTCCCATGAAACCACCGCCCCGATGGGTTCATAGTTTGAGCAGCTACATGTGTGGGGCCACCCCAGAGGATTACTGGAGCCTGTAAATGTGGATTGTGATATAGAGTCATTGTTGGGTATGTTTTGTCAATTTTAAACGTCACAACTGTCTAGTGGATATTTCGATGTATGGCATTTATTCCGCCAACACCAGATGCCTTATCTCGCATCGTTAACTAAAGAGAAAAATAATTTATGCATCTGTAAAGTGATGCAAATCGTCTTCAAAGTTTAATGGGTTCTTCCTCGGCCAGTGTGACACACTTCGACCAACTTTTATTAAAATCGGGCCAGTACATTTTCTGTATTCCTGTAGAGAAACAAACACTTACTTATCCATTAACTTATCCATTAAGTCGTGTATCAAAGACAAATAACTCCGTCTCATTGCCTGATATGACCTGTGCAGACTAATGGACTCTTTGTGAGGAGAATTTCGTGTCGTCATACCAGCTAATGGTCAATTATCAGGATGCAGTTTATCTAACAGGGCATTTTTACAAAGACATACACAGTACAATATATATTGATCCAACCCTCTCACAAAGGGAGAAGAATTTTGTTAAGGTTTTTATGTCGTAGGGTTTGAAGAATGTTTTTATCATATTATTTAGTGATTCTCCTTTGAATCAGTCGACCTTTCTGTAGTTTGTGTGATTTTTACATGTATGATAAATGTGTTTCCTTTTCCCCAGTTCATCTGTGGCGTTACAGAGGTGGATACCCGGCTCTAACAGAGGTGATGAACAAGCTCAAGCAGAACAAGGTAAAGACTCCTTCAGATGTTTGTGTCTCCCCTGTTTAGTGCTTTAGCGGTGTGCAAATGACAGAATACAGCCATCAGTGGAAGTAAAGCGTATTGATTGGTGTCCGTCCGTTGGCAGGAGTTCACAGCGTACAGGAAGGAGCGGGGTAAGATGCTGATGTCTCGCAGAAATCAGCTCCTGTTGGAGTTCAGCTTCTGGAACGAGCCGGTGCCCCGAGAGGGCCCCAACATCTACGAGCTCAGGTCCTACCAGCTCAGGGTGGGTAACAGACTGCAGAGTTTCTCTCATCATTAGCAGTGCTGTGGAGGTTTGTGATAGAGTGAGTTTGAAAGTGTGAGCTCAGCCTGACCTGATGTCATAATATTTAAATAGCCCAAAATCACAAATCACAAAACAGAGCAGTGAGCCTTCCTCCAGGCACAGACGTGTGATACAATGGCTGTTGTGTGTAGAGTCGACAGAAAAAAAAACAATAGTTTTTGTTAAACACTGCAAAATTCCTTTTCAGCAAAAGAAAAAAGCTTTGTGTTGGTTAGGCTGCATTCACAACAAATCAGGCTTTGCTGTGACAACACCACTCCTCCCAGTCATTTGAAGGTGGGTAGTGCGTTTAGGCTGCGATAGTGGGGCTGCAGGGGATGCCAAAACAAAAAATTCATGTAACCACTGATCAGACTAGAAGACTTCTGCAGCCCTCGGCAACAAGCAATAGAGTCTTTTTCTATAGTTCAATAGTATAGTCAGTAAAAGAAATAATAAAGTTACCTATATATTACCAGTTTGTGTACTATCCTATAAAAAAGAGTACTGCCTATGTTTGAGTGTGCACGCACGTGTGTCGTGTGGCAGTAAAGATATGACAGTGGTGATAATGCAAAGAAATTCTGCACACTTAGTCAACATAAACAAACTTGCTGAGATCGGGAAGTTGGCTTTCTATAATTTGTCTCCACCCTCAACTCTGCCACAGATGCACCATTTCAGTGACACTCCCACAACACAGCATAACCCTGCAGCTAAACGCCACAGCCAAACACCGCAATGCCTTCAGGCCTGAACACACCGAACCAACATCAAAGAGCTAGTAGCAATAATTTCCAAGTATTTCAGCGTCTCACTTCGCTCGTGCCAAAAACTTGCACTTGAACACACGACAGAGACTACAGCTCACAGCCAACCAGCATGCACGTTCTGCGCCTGTGTGAGAGGAAATTACTCTCCATACCAGCAGGTGGTGGTCGTCTGTATTCGTCATTCAAAAAGGGTAATTGGAAGACCGTCTTGACGCTAGTTAGCCAGTTAGCACATTAACAACAGAACCTGATGTTGAAAGAACAAAGGATGTTTACCCCCAGCGAACAAAACCACAAACAGTTATGAAGCGTCTCTGCTAAAGAGCTCAATTGTCAAAACAAATACTAATATCTGATATAACCAGTTTGTTTGACGTCCTTTTGAATTTAGTCTTCTCTTTGTCTTCCTCACTTCTGCTTCTCTTCTTGTGCGCTGAGTTGAGCTGGCAGTCAGAGTGATTTCTTCTCACCAATGGGCTCCGCTGTCTCTGATGCAGAATTGATGCAAAATGCTGAATCTGCTGGAAAGGAGCCAACAAGGGTCAACTAGTGCTAACACTGCAGGACGTACCACAAAAACTAGGGGGGGCGACACTTACCAATGGCCCAACATTAACCGATTGCAGACCGTCAGCTCTGTTTGTCAGGGCCGTTAGTCTGGATAACAGGACCTCAGCTCTGAACTAACTTTTCTTTATGACATAAATGACTAATAACCAGTATGTTTTATACATTTTTGTGCAGGGAAAGTCCTCCATTATCACCACTAGGGGCTATCACAGTACAAATAAGGTTTTATTTTGTTAACTTCTGCAGCAGCCAGGGCTTCAGGGCTGTAGGTCACCTCCGCAGGAGTTGTCTCAGAAAGGGACAACGTTACTCTTTCACTTTTCATAGCTTATGTTTTCTTTATTTAAAGTGATGATCTCCAAGTCAAAAGCGTTGCTTCCGTGACCTCTAAATTACCTCCACACTCACAAAGCCACTGCACAACATGTATTGACCCTGTGTCTTCAGGATGAGAGCGGTGCTCAGCCACCATTTGTGCTATTGTGCAATGCAGCTGCTCAATGGTTAAATTAAAAGCAGTCTTAGTCCTGCATAATACTTGATATACACAACACCCTGCAGATTAAGTCGTTCTTTCTGATCTGACAGGAAAAACCGCGTCTAGATCCCCACTTTCTGTGACGTGATGAATGCACGCTATTATCCCTCATCACCGACTGGGACTTCTTCTCAAAACGCAGCAGGGCGTTTGTTGTCTTAAGCACCAGAGAATGATTGAAGAAGCCCCTGGGCATAGTTGTTATTGCAGCTTATCTTCCCAATGACAGAATACCTGTGTTACGTCTTCACCATTTATTTACTATAATGTGTTTGCTCTGGAAAGAAGAGGAAGGTGTGATATCAATCTGCAGATTGGAAAGCTGATCTAATGTAATAAAGAATATTGTGTTTTCTTTCTTCCAGCCAGGAACCATGATCGAGTGGGGTAATTACTGGTAAGGCAGCCTGAATACATTTGACTCACTGAAGTGTAGTTACAGAACAGTTGCACTACATGAAACCTTCCTCACCACGCTGTCATTAATGAGAGATGTCCCACAGGGATGCACTATTTTGAAGCTGAACTGTCATGCTCTCGAGCCAAGACTCAAATTTAAGTGGAATATTATGTACACTACAAATGTGTGTACATAATAGTTCAGAATAACGACCCATTAGTTGAGCTGACAGGACAACATTTGTCATTTTTTTTACAGTGTGGTTGATTGCAATTTATTTAAACAAAGATACAAGCTTTCTGCACACGCCCTAGTTTTCTGTGTTTTGTTTTCTTCCCTGATTCTCATGTATTGGATTTCTGTGTTGGTCTTTTTGCTTATCTGACTGTTTTGTTGTTCTCGGTTGTTTCTAAATCCTCTGGATTACATTTCACAACTTGTTTTGCATCTTTATGAGAGACATGGGCTGTAACAGATAACTCTAGTGTTACTGAGATGTCATTATATAGTGTTGGAGAAATCATTTGTGTGGGTTTAATGAAGCATGCCGGCACACTGGTGAACTTACAGACACAGACGACTGGATCCAAGCCAGTGAGCTGACACAAATGAAAAGGGAGCATTTCTATACAAGCCTTCACTAAAGCCCCTCCAGGACGTTGCGATGTTGTGATTGCAACAATAAATGCAAATTCAACCAATCCTTGTGAATTCTGCACAACCTTTCAATTTTGTCCAATAATGGTAATATTTCCGAAAGTTTCACCAGTCCTACCTGTCAGCACATACTGTGCCGAACTCACTTCCTTGTTCCTATTGTGACAATGCAGACCAGAGGTCTTATTTATAAACACTGCATACGAACGAAATGAGGCCTGAAAGAGGCGTACGCCATTTCCCATGTAAAAGTTGTGGTTTATAAAAACAGACTTGATTGGAGAAACTTTGACCCATGCTTACCAACATTTTGGAGATGGGAAATTGGCAACACAGATGGTGAGGTGGAAGGATGATTGTAGAAACTGCTGAGTATTTTTTAGGGTACGCCATTTTTGGCTTTTGTCCATACTTACATTTTTAGTATGAATCCTAAGTACTGTTTTATAAATGACATCCCTGGCCCCCAGAAAGTGCAATAGGCTTTGAAGCCAGTTTTGTAGCAGCCAAACAGTGGAATTACAACCCCCCAGTCCGTCACATGATGCCACTGGGCGTAAAAAGACTATTTCCCTTGATTCACATTGGGAAAGGGACATCTGTAAATCAGTGGATACATTTTTTTAATGCCACAACCCCCGATAAATGTCTCATTTTATTTTTAAGATTTAATCTATTCAATCCGCTAAAATTTGGGAAGTGTACAAGAGCCGCAAGATTAAATAATTTTATCCCCATTTAAGTTAGCGATGCGCTAAACTGGAAGTAGTCAGCTTGGCCAGCGAAGGTCTCTAGTGCAGTGGTTCCCAACTGGTGGGTCGTGGCTCAAAAGTAGGTCGCGGACCCATTCCGAATGGACCGCAAGTGACTTGTAAAATGTTTCAAGTTTGTAAAATAAAGAAAAAAACACCCTTTATTTTTTATTACAGTAAATTACCAGCACAGAGCTTTTATTATGAAGTTCTATTTCTGTTGTAGAGTGAGTGACTGACAGACAGCTACTTGACAGAGATAGCAAACTAGCCCAATGACATGGCCAAACACAAGTATGACACTGAATGTATTAAACTTTGGGGCCTCAAACTAATGACTAAGGAGAAATCTGAACCCTGTGGCAGTTGCGAACCTCTGCTCTAGTGCTCTTGCTCCATGGGCCCAATCATGCGGAACCAGCGCCGATCATCTGCTAAATTTAATACAGATGTTAAGAACAAAAGCGGAGTAAACTGTTTGGCACCACATGCAGCGTCATGGTGTAACACGAACAACATCGATTGACAAAAACTTTTCTATTGTAAAAAAACAAATCTGAAGAATGACTAAAACACTTGTGCAACAGACAAAAGAAATCACCTTGGTAGAGGTTGTTGCCTCCACATCTAGATCTAGTTTCTACTTGCCGACTAAACTGTGCAAGTAGAGAATTATGCATGCTAAAAGAATCAAGGTGAGTTAGATTAAATGTGCATGGTTGGTGGTAATGTTAGTGTAGTATAAATCACAAACTCACAACAGTGCGGCTTTGTTCTCACAGGAACAAGTTGCCTCTGATTTTTAATGAATTATACAAAAAAAGCAACTATTCTTGCAGTTTTCACCTGCTCCCACAGCATAGTAACAAAAAATCAGGCATTTTAGGCCGCAACAATCACAGAAAAGCCCACTAAGTCCTGCAGGCAGTGTGTATACAGTAAAATCAAAGCAGTGATTAGGCAGTGTGTAAATAGTAGTGTAGGGACAAAGGCAGTGATTACAGGGAATGCAAGTACAAATGGAAACAAAAGGCAGGAAGAGGGCATTTGTATTCAGACCTGAAGGGGACACCCACACACTATCAGACAGTATGTAAACAGCAGGAAGTGGGGCATTAATCATTCAAAGCAGGAAAGACACACAATTGGGATATTGTGGATAAAGAGGCCAATCCAGTGGGGGGTGGACGCTGATGTCTGCACTGCCAAAATGTGCATTCCTTCCTCAACTGTCAACTGTATCTTTGTTCATTTACCACATTTATGGTCATTTGTAGTTGATTTTAAATGTAAATATATCTGAAAATACTTGAATGTCGAAGTTCAAGGTTATCTTTATTTTCCATCTTGGGGAAATTTGTCTTGCAGCCAGGGTTAACATAAAAACTTAAAACAGAATACAAAGAAAATTGTCAGTGACACATGAACAGAAAAATGAACAGAGCTAGAGCAGGGAAATGAAAATTCATACCATATAAAGAAGGATACACATGTACACGAGTGCAAAGGAATCTCTCTTACCCCAGCAGACCAAAGCTTAAATCCTTTTGGCCGCATTTTGACACCCTCTCTGGGGTTCTCAAGATTCCTTAAACCCATGTCTTCTAACTAGCTTTGTGTCCTCTTGAGGGCAGGCTAACTAAATACCAAGTTGATTTTTGTTGCATTTGCTACCCTCATAGCCAAACGGCACAATTTGCTACAGTGGAGGAGCCCTAACCCCCCTGGCACAACTTCTGGGTTAAAGGATTTAATGTCTTTTCTCCAACTAGATTGCACAAAACGTGGGACTCTCTACCTCGGCTAGACTATTAATTTGCTCAAGAGTGCAAAGGAAGTGCTAGGAATACAGTCAGGGTGCAGCAGAAGCTCCGACCAGAGGGCCCTGGGTTGGGAACCTGAGGTTGTTGGTTTGAGTCTCTGTCCAGACCTAATATGCAGTTTGGAGTGGTAGCTGGAGAGGCATCAGCTTACCTCCCGAACTTCAAGCTGCTCGGGGCGCCTGCCCATGGGAAGCCATCTCACTCTGACATCTCTCCCTTTAATCCATGTATCCTGTTTGTGCATGTGCGTGTATTTCGGGCCTGTGTGTACATGACAACAGAGTGGAAAAAATTGAATTTCCCCTCGGGGATTAATAAAGTACATCTTCTTCCTCTATAAAGCATATCGATAGCACTGGGGATGACGTCCAAAGGGCAAAAGCTTTAACTCATCCACGAGTCCAATATATCATCCAGGCTTTCTGCTTTGAGGCTTCACGTTGCCCTTCTTCCTAAAAGCAGACGTGATTTAAATAATCATAGGAAAAAAAAACCTTTGATGAAAAGATCATGTTAGGGCATGGTCACTTTTTCCTAAAGCGACTACTCTATTCTTACATTTGCGTTCATGCTGACTTGAACCAGCCTGTATTGAACAAACCTCTATAGTCCAGTGCGTTGGGCCAACAAAGCAATTTACAGTCATTTTAATATAATTTGTGTAGCCTAAAGCTTTAACTTGCCCCTCAAGTTACAACAACATGAACTGAAGCTTTATAGTTCTGCATCCAGACCGTGATTATGATTTTAATAAGTACATATTTGCTTTGGGGGGAAAATGTAATAAATTTAAAACATTCCACTTACACAAGTCTGCTCGTTTCACATGGACTTGGCCAGCGCTTAGCTTCATAAACATGTATACAGTAAGTAATGGCGTCACATCTTATGGTTGGACGTGATTTTGCAATGGATAATAACAGCTGTGTCAGACCAGTGGCGTTTAGCTTACGTTACCAGAACAGACTAAATACCTGATTGTGTAAATTAAAAACAGTCCAGGATAAATTCAGAGATGATGTTGAAATCCTTGTTTGAAGGCTCGTCAAATATCTCATGTGTGCAGGTTTGGACTTGTTATGCCAGATGAAAGCTTGGTGGTTTTTGGTCTGTGTCGTGACTGGAGTTTTTCTTGTTCTCAGGGCCAGAGCCATCGGATACCGCCAGCACAACAGAGAAGCTGTGGGAGGGTTTTTCTCACAGATCGGCAATCTCTATATGGTCCATCACCTCTGGGGTACGGTCATATATCAGCTTTGTGGAAAATACTGACAGCATCAGCATGCAGATACTCGTGCTAGGGCTGAGATCATTCATTGCTCTAGTTAAGTTAGAGGACGTTAAAACCTTCTTTTTTTATTTGAATTTCATGACGTAGATGAGTCCCGACTGGCGGACTCTTTGCCAGCATTGGCCTTGCAAGGTTCAGGTCTAATTTAAAAGAGTAGATGAACTTTTAAATTTTGTAAGTAATGTCAATATGAGCACCAGTATTGATGTGTTTCATTCAGATCAGTTATACAATTTAATTTACAGCTCTAAAATATGTGTGCAGTATCCTATAAGTCATTTAAGAAGCAAAACACCTACAGATTTGCGGCTTACAGTTTCTACAGAAGATTTCCTCCGTTTGTTGTTAATATATTTGAGTTTGAACTGTTTAGGCAAAACAAGCCATTTTAAAGTTGTCACCTTGGTCATTTTTCATTATTTTCTTAACTTACAGCTGCATTTATTGATATTTTTACACAAACAATAGATCAAATGACTACGTGTAATTTGAATTACGTCACTCATAGTGACATGACACATATAATTATCAGTTCTACTCAGCTCTTCAGGGCATTTTTGCACTTACAGCTCTTTGTTTTGGTTTTCTGGTTCACAGACTTGTTATGGTTCAGTCTCATAGCTCCAATCTGCTTTTCCAGCAGCAGCTGACACCTATTATGTGTGAGAACGCTCTAAGGCTACATCCACACTAATACTTTTCTGTTTTAAAACGCATGACTATTGCTACGTTAACCCCTAGTGTCACTACTCGGGCATTTTGGAACCCATGAAACGGAGACCTTTGAAAATGCTGCTGACCTGTTTTAATTTGAGGGACTTTTGGAGTCAATGACACAGACATCCAACTTTGCTTCCCACTTGGGTCTTATCAGCCATTAAGTGTCGAGACAAAACATAGATCCCTATCTCTACATACCTTTCATAGTGTTATCCTTTTGTGGGCACTGCTTTCCCATTGCAGTGGCTTCCTCCGGCGATTGATACCGCTCCTAGTACCACTCTGTTATGCCATATTTGCTTTGTAATGACTGTCAATCTGTTTTCCACCGCCTTGACCACCTTATACTCGTGTTATTTTCAGTAACAGTTCCACAGCATCTTCAGTCCAAGTAAAGAAATACTTGGTCTCACTTTTTGTCAATTATGTAGTATTTTCTGTAACTAAACAGCCATTGGCAGAATAGACAATCAAATAGACAGCCAGCTTCCTGTTAACACTGGCATGCGCAGGCCCAGTGTACATAAATTGTCGTATAATATGCGTTTCCTGGTGTGTTATTAAGGACCAAGATTACTTCTGAAATAGTGCTAAAACAATCTTGTGTACGAAGATTTTTTTTCATTTTAAAATGTTGCGGAACAATCAGCTCCGCCCAGCTTGGTCTTGGCAAGTGGAAACATTACTAAATCCAGACTGGTAGAAAAAGATTTCTGCACATGTATAATGATGATGTATGTATGCTCTGATGAAGGTCTAAAAGGCCGAGAGCTCAACAATAAAGTGAAACACTGCGTAGATGTAAGTGTGCGGAAATCTTCTGCTACCAGTCTGTCATTTTAAAATAAAAATGTATTAGTGTGGATGTGGCCTGATAAACTGACTGCCTGCCCGTCACCAAAGCAGGTAAAGTTAGCGACTAGCTGGTGAACATTTAGCGGCTAGAGAAATAGCTTTTTCCCTCAGGAGCTGGTGGAGACCAAAACAGAGCTAAAAGAACAATGACTATTGGACTTATTTTTCTTGAGTGGACACAAACTTCACTCCAAATGAATGCTCGTGATGTGCATTGTTTGCTAAAACGGTCACCTCAACAATCAAATTTTTTAAAATTTTTTAAGGTGATAATCACCTGGTGTTTACAGCTGAATTCCACTGCACCAAGAACCCAGAAAAATAAGTTATTAGAACTTTGATTAATCTATGATACATTGATTAATAATTGTTACTTGCAGCCCTAAATTAAGCAAACTTTAAATTAAGCTGACTTTTAGTGCGATGATCCCATTTACTTTAAGCCATGTTATAATGTGTGTTTAATGATTGCAGCTTACAAAGACCTTCAGTCCAGAGAAGACACAAGGAATGGTGCCTGGCAGCAGGAGGGCTGGGATGAGGTGGTGTATTACACAGGTGAGTTTTCTAAACATAATGTGGTGGCCGACATTCAAAGCTGTGTGACTGAAAGCTTTCAAAAGCTTGATCTAATTTGTCTTGAGTAACAACATATTGAACTTTAAGAGCTTGCTGACCTGAACAATATCAGAGGGACTCTGACCTATGAGGACATTGACTCATCTCTCTTTTCACCTTTCTCCAGTTCCTCTCATTCAACATATGGATTCCAGGATCATGATCCCGACAAAGGCTTCCCCACTGAAGTGAACGAGAGCCGAGCTGGAGGCTGAAACAGAGTGGCACCCCTTGTGAATGTTACATCCATCCAGAGCATCACTATCATGGTTTCAACTTCCTGTTAGTGCTGCCAAACAACATCCCTTCTGTTTTCTTGTCCTTACGTCACGACTTCCAAGATGTCACCAGGACAGTGGAGGCAACAATGCCTACCATGTATAAATATATGAAAATATCCAATATCAGTTACAGGCCTTGGCGATGCACAACTTCTTTTTGGGTTCTGGAGCAGGACGAGTAAATTTGGCCAATTTAAACCGCCTCGATGGTCGTCTGGTGCCACATTAACACTGGTCCACAGAGAGCTAATCTCGAACCAAAGTTACTTGAAAAGACAAGCAGCTGTGTGTAAGTGTTAGAGCATATAGGAGGAATAGTGCTGCTGACGTACTCTGCACAATGCAGCAGCTTTTTATTTATTTATTGTAAATTTGGAACACATATGTCATAAGTGTGCTGAGGAGGAGCACTTTGATGCAAGCCATGCCATAGCTGAGTGAAGTGAGAGAACGCATCTGTATATTCATGAATACTGTAGACCATAAAGTGGTATATAATGTAAACCTCATTTTATATTTGACTGAGTTCAACAAACTGCTCCGTTCAGTTGCTTTTTCTTGACGTTCCTGGGTTCCCCGTCATGGTATTGTTACGGTTTCATGGTGCTGTGTGTGTATCTATGGCTTCTACCTTTTCTTTTCTTGTAAAGACAGCATGCCTGGTTTTGAAAACAGGTTTTTATCCAACAAGACAAATGTTATCTATCAGTGGCTGAGTGATCCGGCTGCTGCATACTGTAATATCAGAATTTAATGTTAAAGGAAGCATGTTTATCTTGTCGTTTTGTTCTTCAGTTCAGAGGGGAGCAGTGGATAGTAAGGACAAGTACGCCAACACAGAATAAAGCGGTTCAGACAACATCTCTGACAGCATGCTCTTCTCTTTAATGCTGGTGTTCTTAACAGGACTTAACACTTACTGACGTGTGGTTACAGCTCTTAGTACCCATACAGAAATAAAACACTGCTCCTGTCATTATACGCAGGAGTTGTATTAGCTTACCTAAAAGGCTTTGATGCAAAAAGTGCAAAAACACTAAAATCTTCTTAACCATCACATAAACAGTGTTTGGTTATTCTTTTAGTATCTAGTATAAAAATCAGCAGGGTGACGTCCCCTGTGAAGGTAAAATTGGTTTCACTAGTGTAAACATTTTCATTCATAATAAAAATCTATAAGAGAGGAGGGGAGAAGGGGAGGAAAAGTGTGCAGGGGATAAAACCGTCAGAGGCACACCCTTACAGTAGGTGCAAATATAAAATGTTAAAATTAGTAATGGGATCTTTTTTAGCTTCTTTAGATCTTTTCCAGTTCCTTTAGCAGCTCCCCAAAACTTGTCACGTACCACGAGGACTTCTCCTTAACCTGCTGCCGGGTGACGTTCCCACCGAAGCCAATGAAAGCACTCTGAGGATGAAAGAGACACATCCGTCATCACACCATAGCTCCAAGAGAGGGAAGGTTTTCAGCATTATTAATGTGAACACTTACAGCAGGAGGGGACGCCTCTAGATCAGTGGCTCCATCTCCAATCATCACCACGGTCTTGAAGCCGTATTGCTCCTTCAACATGCTGATGACTTTTCCTTTTCCACCACTCTCAGCCGTGGGCTGGCTTTCGTCAAAACCAGCGTACTCCCCTGGAAAATACACACAGTTTAATTTAGAGATGTAGAATGATGCCTCACAACAGGCTGACGACAGCGCCGGACACATGAGATGAAGGAAAAGATTTGAAACGAGATCTGAGAGACTGCTTTGACCAAAACTAACAAGGAGGACTCAAGCATCGTCTGTCCACTCATTGGCCCGACACTTCATTACTTCATACACTTAGTTTTCAAGACACACTTACAATGCTCCACTTGTATGAAAACAGAGAAAGGTCACGTCTAGCTCTCACCGTTGAAGTAGAACTTGAGCCGGTTGGCGTAGACGTGATGCAGAGGAATGTTTAACTGAGTGGCCACGTGTTCGACGATGCAGCGGAAGCCGCCGGAGATGAGAAACACCTTGATGTTGCGCTGATGCAGGCGGTCCACAAGCTCCCTGGATGGAGACAAAGGGCCATTTATCAACACTCACAGTACATCAATGCAGTTTTAGTAACATGTTGGTATAGTGTGCAGTAGTAAAATCTTATTTGGTCAGGAAGCTTCAAACATAAACCAGGGGTGTCAAACAAGTGGCCTGCAAAAGGATCCAATCAGGCCCACTGGATGACTCTGCACACCTAATACAGATGCACTTATAAAGACTAAAAGGCACCAGGGTTTAAGGAGCAAGTTAAGGAGCTTCAGTTTGCAACATGCATTACTACACAAGACTGAAACCATATATGGAGACATGCACATGTAATGACAGCTAGTAGTAGACTGACTGAATGTGGTAACACTGAGACATATTGTTCCAACTGCAGTTATTTGTCTCAACACCCCTCAGGCTGTTCGTCATCTGTTTAAATGGATGAATGTTTTCAGAATGCATTTCTTTACACTAAAAGAAAGCTTAAACTTTCTGGGTATTGTTAATATAGGTTATGATGCAATGGTTTTACTGATCTAGTCCACTTGAGATCAAATTGGGCTGGATGTGGCCTGTGAACTAAAATGAGTTTGACACCCTTCACATAATCCAAACACACATACATATAAAAGCTGATGCGGGTAAGGAAGCAGCTATGCATGTGCACGAAGTAGCAGAACAGGTTTGAAGTGATACAAATACATGCACAGCATTAATGCGAGCTCTCTCATATTTGCTTATGAAGACGTTGTGTAAACTTCTACCAAACTGTCTGCCATGTCAGCCACTGTGATAGTTAAACCTGCAGACAATTTATGCTCATAATACAACTGTATTTTCAACACTGGATGACTAATCAGCGATGGGAGGTTTGTATAAACCACTCCCAGAGATACAAATGATCCATTATGCTTTTAAAATACAGTTTTGGTATTTTCCTACAAGATTCTTGATGTGCGTTTTCTATTTTTATATTCTTAAAACTCCAGTGTGTGCGATTTGGGGGAACCTGTCGGCAGAAATGCTATATAATATTAATAACTATGTTTTCATTAGTTCATAATCACCTGAAAATACGAACCATCTTGTTTTTGTAACCTGAGAATGAGCAGTTTATATCTACACATGGAGCAGGTCCTCTCTCATGGAGTCCACCTTGTTGTTTGTACAGTGGCCCAGAATGGACAAACCAAACACTTAGAGAGAGTCACCCGCTTTTCATGTTGTTCTCCTACATGCTTGGCACATGACAAGCTTCAGTTCTGCAACCTCCCCACTAGATGCAACTATAGCCCCTTACACAGAGGGTTGTTCATCATACATGGTCCTCTTAGGTCAGGGGTGTCAAACATATGGCTTGTGGGCCAGAACCGGCCTGCCAAAGGGTTCACTCTTGCCCACTGGATGACGATTCAAAACCAAAAGAAGGTCGCAAGCACTTGTCCGAGGCACGGGACTTCTGATTGCTTTAGGTAAATTAAGTATGCAATGTAGCAGGGCTATGTGGCTAATAAAAAAAAGACAATAAAATCAACCAGTAGGCTAATCAGTTCATAATAATTCGATGTTGTAGGCTATATTATTTACGCATTTACTGATATTTCTTATCCCGTGCAAATTGGCCATTAATATTACTGACGTCCTGTGGTAAAGTGACATTACCCCACGTGCCCATGTAAAACTAATCCCGTCTGAATTGTGCTTAAGAGGTGCCAGGTTTCAGGAGCAAGTTAAACAATGTGTTACCTGCTTCATGTAAAATTCTGCGTCAGAGGCTTTTCCCCCCTGGCCAGGGTACGGCTCTCTCTTATAAACTGAATACTTACTGTGACCATGTTTAAAGATATTAAATGTTGTGCAAAATATTGTCAATCAGCAGCTTCAGTTTAGAAGAATCTGTATCAGGAAATGTGTGGATAAATGCACATGTAATGATAGTGAGAAGTGGACTGACTGAATGTGGAAAAACTGAGACATGCTGTTGAAAGTACGCTTAATTTTCTTGACATCTCAGGCTGTTTTGTAAAAGGATGAACGTCCACACAATGTACTTGTATTTCTTCACAGAAAAAAGGGGAAATATTGGAGCTGATGACTTATAGGGTGTTATGTGATTTATTATGTTGTTATGTATTATGTTTTATTGGTCCGACCCATCTGAGATCAATAGAGAGTTTGACACTCCTGACTTATGTGTGTGTGTGTGTGTTAAATCACCTGTACAAACCAAATTCAAGCACCGAGTGGAACACAAGCTCCACTGAATGACTGACACCTTCACACACTCACCTGATACCTGGAGTCAGCTGAGGCGGGTGGTCTGTTATCAGTTTGTTCACCTGTTCTCTGGAGCAACGGATGATGGACAGACGCTCAGTCAGGGCTGTTTTGAACGTCACTGAGCCGCCCATCGCTCTGCGAGTCCTGGATTGTGAAACAGGTAAAAGATTCGCAAAATATAAAGGTGTACTTTTAACTATCCCGAGGGTGGGAGGAGTGCAAATATAAAACGTCTAAGATGTCTGAAAGCTGCAAAGAAGGTGCAAATCCAGCGTATATCCAATGCAAAATCAGGTTAACAGTATGGATTATGCAAATTGAGCATTGAGCTGTTACACACATACATTTCAGTGACTGCATCCCCCACTCCACAAAACTTGGCAAGCTCATCTATGCCCTCTTCTTTGATGACCGTGCTGTCCACATCGAAACAGACAGCTTCTGCTCTCCGGAATATCTCCTTTGTCTGTGAGAGTGTTGCCATCATGCTGCAAAAAGAAAAGTACACAGTGTGAGACACTCCAACACAGACAGCAGCAGCAGCAGCATTTCAAAAGCACTCCCAGCTCTGATGGCACAGATAAGGGTCTACATTAGGAAGTCATCTGAGGGTAAATCTAATAGTCTTTAATAGCCAGGGTCCCGGGATGAATTTGCTGGTGAAACATGAGGTCTGTGATTTTAAACCCAGCAGCTGCATGACTTCATTGTTGCACTAAGCCCAGTGTGCAGTGGATGTCTTCAATCCAGTGGAGCAGCAAACACATCCATTGACTGAAATACCTATGTGCACACGTTTCTGCATCGACGGATCCCAAATAAAACACGTGTCCCGGGCAAGAATGCGATGTTATGTAAAGCAGCCGGCCCTAAACAAACCATAAGAGGGGCCGTTGTGGACATCCTCTGCACGGATTGCGTCACCCCGGCACCGTGCTCGCGACATCAAAACCCCAAACAAACGTGAAGACGGTGGGAACGAGATGTTGATGGCGGTTTGGTGGAGAGTAGCTCTCTGGTGCTCTCTGGCATTAAATAAGTCATGTCTTTACGTTAAGGATAACCGTGAGCTGGCTCAGAGGGCAAGTTACCTGTCCGGACCACCTTCATATGAGCGCCTCACACACACACACACACACACACTCTCTCTCTCTCTCTCTCTCTCTCTCTCTCTCTCTCTCTCTCTCTGCTCAGCTGTCAGCTTCTCTAACTAGGGTAACCACGGTAATATCAGGAACTACATATGAAGGAGTCGTTCTGTGGTACTCACCGGTAGGAGCAGCGTCGGTAAGGCACTACCAGCAGCCTCAGCATTAGCCTTCCTCTCTCAATGGGCTCACCGACGAGGAAGAGCACCAATGACTGCTGGGCCAATCAGAGGGAAGCCGGTGAGGGACCGCCCACTACCCTCTGGCTCGCTTCCATGACGACAGCAACGGTCGACTAACGGCTCATGTATAAATGTACATTAGCACGGTTTATATTCTTAGCTGTCTTCACAGTAACTGTGTCAATATAAGTTTATTGTTAATAAAATGGAAGTTTCAGCTTTAAATAAAGGAGTCGACCCGTGACCCCCACAGTGAGTGATCCAGGCTTGATTTATAAGGGCTTGATGACCGGGAGTCTTGTGTCCAGCCAGGGTTGGAGCAGACTGTTGACTTTGTTGGATGATACCTCTGTGGATATACATACTTTGAAAAACAAAATATAGCTACACCACACTTGCAGACACATCCTTTATCTAATCTTCAAAATTAAAGGGAAATTTTTTCATAAATGGATGTTCTTGCCCTCTTCTCTACCATCATCATCACACAATTTCTTCACACTCAATTCCAAAATGTATTTATATAATTCTGGGCTGATCAAATTCATCTTCCTTTAGTCAAAACAAAGATATATATATATTTATTTATCACATATACATAATATTATGTATAATGATACAGTTATGTATATATATTATTTACGCTGCATTTCTTCTGCATTGTGTTTATGTAATTTTCTTTATGTTTTATTTTTAAAATTAATGATTTTTGATGTGACAATGTGGTTTAATTTTTACTGGATTGTTGTAAACTGATTGGCAAGTTCAGTGTGCTTCCTGTTGTCATTTATATATAAATATATACATGTATATATATATATATATATATATATATATATATTCTGCATTATGTTACTTTTTTATTCTTATATTATTTTTTATTCTGTTTATTGTTATCGTTTGTTTTCCTCCACAAATTGAGGGGTCTGTTGTATAAGCAGGTTGCTTCCTGACTTCTCCTGAAAGATTTATTTTTTAATTAATTTTCTTGCCCATTTATGGATTTTGTGCCATATTATGTGTGAACCCCCCCAAAAAATCATTTCAGTTCAATTCCTTTTATCGTCACTGTAAATACATATAATGCAATTCAATGCACAGAATAAAATGGAGCTAATTTAAAAGTAATAAATGAAAGGATAAAATATCATTAATTCAATTCGGGTTAAAGGCTGTACCATATTGTGTCTGATATTCTGTTTTACTGTTGTATTATAGCCTACTACTTTACATGATACTTAACAATATTATATTATCATAGTATTCTACTGTTGCACCTTATACTATATCTTAAACCTCACGCTATACCATACTGTACTAAAACATACTATACTATGTTAATACATTATGCTGTCTTACCACATTATAAACTGCATTATATTTTGGTTTTGCTGTATATCAATAGGGACAACAATAAATACAAATACTTAATTACAGTATAATTTGCTCTGATGCACACTGTTTACGTAATGCTTGACTAGCTGCTATTATTCATTGGCTACCATGTCACTTGACCATGTGACTTTGTCTTTAGTCGCTCTTGTATGGGTCATAGTTTTACTTTATCTCTTATAATAGTTGTGTATTTCTCTTATTTTGTTCTTTCTTATTTTTCTGTTTGTCTGTTCTTATTTCTGTCTTTGTGCTGCTGCAACACCTGAATTTCCCTTCTGTTGATCAACAAAGACTTAACTTGTCTTGTATGGAGCCTCTCAGTTAACAACTATGCTTCTGGGCTCAGGACATATAACCAACTTAAAACCCGAAGCCCCCCACTGAGCCAGGGTCCTGTTTGTAGATTTCAGCTCTGCCTTCAGTACCATCATCCTGGCTCTGCTGCAGGACCAGCTCTGCCAGCTGCAGGTGCCTGTCTCCACCTGCAGGTTGATAACACACTTCCTGTTTGTCAGGAATCCTGTGAAGCTGTGGAAACATGTCTCTGACTCACAGCCTAACAGCACCAATTACCGTTAAGGTTGTATCCCCTCCCCTCTTCCCCTCTCCATGTACACCATAATTATTCAAAGTGTGCCATCAGAAAAACTGTGTGCAGCCTCTGAAAATGACATGAAATGCATGTATTATATTTTAATCGTTTGCATTTCATTTCAATACTGTCATTCTTGACAGTGTAGATTTAATACAATTTTCAGCAACTGCATCACACTCAACCCCATAACTAGCACTTGACAGGTCAGGGATGACAACTTGTAGAAAGCTACTGGTTGCATGGCACTCAGTCATCAAAACTTTGATATCAACCACCTGTTAACAAGGTGGGGATAAACAACTTAGAGCTCAACGCTCTGTAGACAGTAGCCTAGAGATGGTTGTGGATTTCCAGAAATATGCAGCCCTACCTACCCCCATCACCCTGAGACTCTCCAGTCAACATTATGGAGTCCTTCTTCCTCCTGGGCTCCATCGTCTCCCAAGACCTCAAGTGGAAGCTGAACCTCATAGGTATCACACACTCTGCAACATAGGTATCATGCCGCCCCAGTGTATGACTTTAGACAGCATGCCGGCATTACTGATTCAAAAGAGGTGTGGTGAGTGTGACTTGGCCTCTAGTGTAACATGTAGCATACTTGCCAAGTAATGCTTTCTAAACAATAACAATGACATAACATAGCCCTGTTTACACCAGGTATTTATATGTGTCTCGGGTCATAGGCACGGTGGTGCACTGTCACCTCCCTGCATGATCTCCCTGTGATAGCGTGGGTTTTCTTGGACTCTATTCAGTGTGGAGCTCACACACCTGCACTAGTAATATCCTGTGGTGGTGAATGATACTATGTAGGCTATGTGTTATTTGCGAATAAAGAGAAGTGAGATCTGATCTTGAGTGGTCACTTGGGACACGTGGAGATGCTTTCTAATGCCAGGTGTGAACAGACAGACTTAAAGCTGATCACTTGATCACCCAAGATGCATGTCAATACCAGGTGTAAACAGGCTCTTTGAAACATTCCCTTCTGGCAGGGGGCTGCGGACTATCAGGACTAAAACCTCATGCCACAAGAACAGTTTCAACCCGACTGCAGCTGGCCTCATCAACAAGACCCAGGACCCTCACTGATGCAGACTCTTTGAACCAAGACAATACTTTTTTTTAAAATTTAATTTAATTTAATTTAATTTAATTAATAAGTTGCAATAATACAGTTGGTCAATTTAAATTAGTTGTAATATTTTGGAAGTGGTAACCTACTGTATATACAGTTTGAAATAGTTTTTAGAGTTAAATAAACTCACACAAAAATAGGCAGGATCAGTATTAGAGAGCAAATCATCCACAAAAAAATGGGAATTGTTAAGTTTATTTATACAGTAACTCATATTAGCGTAGGGGCCAGTTGACTAGTAGGAATATAAAAGTGAAAGAAATGATAAGGCCCATTACCACCAGGAAGTTTTGTTTGCTTGTTTGTTTTTGATTGTTTACCAACTTTGGTTTAAAAAAAAGACACGTTTTAAAACCCAACCTAAAAGTAAAGTGAGCATCCTTTACAGAAATGATGCTCGGATTTAGTTTTCAGGTCTTGCCGTTTTCACTCCCGTCCAGACGGTGGCGGTAATGAGCGCAATGCCGTTATAAACCAGCTCAGAACGGTAAAAGGACACGAAGAAGAAGATGAAAGCAAACGAAGAAGAATTTCACTGATAACGGGTCGATGCCATTACATCCCACACAGGAGCTGGTGGACAGAGGTACTTTGGCCTCGGAGAAATATAAAATGTCGCTGTCAGTCGGTCGGGTCGCTGAGAGACGGGACCAGGAGTCAGCTCGAATAATGATGACAATATGATGCTGCAGCTCGGCTCAGGTAATTACATCTGTCTGATTCAGGGTGATGTCTGTAATTAGTGGTTTGAGATGCGGATGTTAAAACATGTGGTACACATGGTGGTGAGTTAGCTGACGTCATAGTTTGCATCACGGCTGGAAGTCGTTAGGAAACAGATAGATAGTCAGATAGAGAAGAGTTAAGGTGTTTTACTAGGTGTAAAATTTATGTAGGAAATTAAGAATCTATTAACATAAATTAATCATCACAGAACAAATCAGGGTGATACAGGGCCGTGGTCACCTATTCAACCTGGTGGGAGAGGGTGGCCATTTTACATCCAAGCCATGAGGGGGTCTGGGGACATTTTTTTAGAAACTTTAAACCTACTAACCCTTTTATTATTATTTTTTTTTATAATTTTGAAACAAAAATCTTAGATCAGGGGGCCTCAAAGTTTTGATGATTCAGTGCCATTTTAGGGAGCCAGCACATGATTGAGGGCCACACAGGAAAAGTTAACACACTGACTTTTTAACCACATGGCCCACAGTAATACTGTGACTTTTAAACTTTTTTTTATGACACTCTTACATTTTACAACAACTATAACAGTTGACAGTGATGAAGCGTACATAACACTCATTTTACATTCTGCTTTTCCACTTTCTAATACATTTGAAAACAGTTAATCTTCTGTAGCCACCGGCACAAAGTGGAACAGTCAGAGCTGCATTACTTAACAAAAATGACATTTTTATCATAATATTAATATAAGGTTATTTGTAAAGTGTATTAATGTTTGTTATCCATCCATTTTATCCAGGGCCAGGTCAAGCAAAGCACCCCAGACATCCCTCGTCCCAGCAACACTTTCCAGCTCCTCCTGGGGGACCCCGAGGTGTTCCCAGACCAGATGAGATGTGTAATCCCTCCAGTGTGTTCTGGGTCTGCCCCAGGGCTTCCTACCAGTGGGCCGTGCCTGGAGCACCTCTGACAGGAGGCTTGCTGATCAGATGTCCGAACCACCTCAACTGACCCCTTTCAACGTATGTGATTACATTTGCTAATGATTATTTCAGGTACCTGTGAAAGGTTGCGGTCTAGCACAGCAAATTTTTGTTTTGTCTTTTGTCTATGAGCATATTTGAATATATTATAATTACTATTAAGGGGTGATATTAACATGTTGGTGTACTTGTGATTTATGATTACTGCACAGGAGGACACATTGAGAAAATGGCCTGACCTGACTCATCATGGAGGAGCTCCCAGGCTGAAACACAACATGCAACAGAGGTGAGGAGGAGCAGATACGGACTGTGTCTTATCCTGGAGTTTACAGATTAAACTCTGGGAGAGTGTGTCTGTTCATTGTCAAGTTAGCAACATTAATAGCACGACAAAGGCAGATGTATTTTCAAAAGCAGACACTGTGACTTCTCACAGAAGGAGAAACACAGGTGTTACATTAAGCAGAGCTTCATTCTGTTCAAGTGTTGCAGAGACAGTGAGCCAGCACGCACAATACCAGAAACCTGAAATCAAAGCTGCCCAATGGAATTGGATCATCATTAATTTTATTATCCAAACCTACACCCTCTGTGAAAAAGGCTGATTGAGGTCAATATGTCCTTCTGTCAAGGCCTCAATCACAGAATATGGTGCCTACGTTACCTGTCAAAATGAATCTTTTTCACAGGTGAAAAAGAAATTCCTCACCTCATATGAAAAGCAAACACTCATCAGCCCAGTTACCTGGCCAATCTTATATTAGTCAGCCTCTCAACACTTACAAACACCTGCTTTCTGTTACTGAGCTGGTGTGTTCTCCTACAGATGCCCTGTCTGAACATGGGACTGTTGATCCTCATGAGTAGAAACACGGAGAGGTAACTCATCCTTCATAATAATAGCATGTTTTTAAATGCATGGCCGAATTCTGTTTTACTCTTGCAGTAGTAAGTGCAGTCAGACACCATGCTAAATTAATGTTTTCACACGCTGACTCGACAAGAGAGTAAGGATGCTAAGCATGTGCCTCATTCTTATGTCAGAGTGGATACAGAATCACTTAAATGTGTGACACTTTGCATGTAATTATATCTTATAAAGCTGCAGCTGTTTGCATCATGATAAGTCTCACATGTCTCACGTAACGTATTATGTCAGCACAAACTCACCTCATTAGCCTCTGTTACACTTTTTCTTGTTCCAGCATTTGTGGAAATGTGTTTCATGGAGAAGTGCAGTGATGCACGCACACCGGCCAAAAGAAACACAGTTGCCACGACTGACTTCCAGACTGTGAGGGCCCGAGGTTGGTATGTTAACACTCACTGTTATGCAGCATTAGTATTCCTCACACTAAAGAAGTCACCACTGAGGCATGGCCGAATTCTGTTCCAGCTAGTCTGTGTTGGATTCAGTCAGACACCATGCGAAAACCAGGTCTCATTTCTGCTGAATGACTGGATGAGTGCTTCAGTCAGCTTCATCCAACTGTACAGGAATGAGTACAACAATGATGGTACACTTGGAAATATGAGATGCTGCTCTGACAGCAGTCCTGTTGGTTTTGTATTGATTTTATTCTGTTTTCTAAATTCTGCAGATACCAGTGGCTGCATCTGAAGCAGGAACGTGAGGGAAAGTCGACTCCTTTGTCTGTTTTAACTTCACTCTACCAACATCTCAACATTGGAAATCCGTTTTGTGCTTAAACTAGCACCACCAGGATAACTGTCAAGACTTGAAAGATGTATCTCACTCTTCTGTTGAAATAAACTTCTAATTGTGTTCAAAATGTCTCTTGTGTATTCATTTTCTACCATTTCCCTAAAGTTTTTGTACACAGAAAAATACAACCCAGATATTTTCAAATCCAAAAACATCACAGAAACTCAGGATCTTTCCAATAACACCTCAGATTTTAAATTGAATGTATATTTTAATAAATAAATCCATAGCATACATTTTAAAGTGCAGCCTCCCTTGAAGCTGTTATCACAACGGTACATCGTGCATAATGTTTAAACACAAATATGTAAGCCCATGCCATTTCAAGTATGCAGGTTCACTGTTTAATATTCCAGTCAGGTAAATTTAATTGGTTATTGCCGTAAGATTTGCTCTGGCTGCTGAGCCAAGGCTTCACAGTTCTGACAAAACAAATGTAACATAGGACTCCAGGGCATCATTTACACTATTGATATTATGGACGTTATCATTTAACATTGAAATCTATGTTCTAAATCTTCAACGAAACATTAAAAGTTGTTCATATGTCCTCCAGTACAAGATCAGGTGGAAACTTTGTGTCCACGTTTGAGATACGGAGACTGTTGCATACAAAAACCTGTTTCTTTGATAACAAAATGAGATGGCTGCTGGCTCTATTAACTTTAGACAGGCATCAAAGAATAAGCACATAATCATATACAGCTGACAGTGGGTTCGTTTGACTTTTTTTCTCTAAACAGCCATTTTATTAGCAAATCTGCTATTTTAATCTACAAGAAAGCAGGTGCTGAACAGTGGTATTGTTGCGGGTGTTTGCCACATTTCTTGAGGTAAATCATGCCCACTGTAATAAATAAATAATGCACTTCAAATTTCATGAGCAAATTCTGCTCTATTTGTTAAAGACACACTTGAATTAACCCTGTCAGGCAGTTCATTTTCTTTGTACAATAGATAAGAGTACATAAGCCGAGCTGAGTAGCAGAATATCCCCGTTAGCCTGCAGCACATCTGTCCTGAGGAGTAAGTGCTTTGTTACCAGATGTGTTGGGTGGGCTCGTCGGCCTCGGCAGTCAGCGACAGCAGGATGGCCTTGGGAGTGTTCTCGAAAAGTGCTGCTCTGTTCTGAGTTTGGCCCTTCTTGACCCAGTGGCCGTAGATCTTGAACGCACACGCGTCAATGAGCTTGCGGATGGGCTTGACAGCGTACGGGTCGCTCTTGATCACCTCCTTGGTGACAGGCTTGGCACGGCGGTAGTTGCAGTAGATTCGCATTGTGGCGAGGACAGTCATGCAGATAACCTGAAGGAGAAAGAGTAGAGCATGTTCAATGTAAAGAAAGGGAACGTGTCCATCACTGTAATAATATATAATATAAGGTATTAAAGTACCTGCACACACCTGTAGTTCACCCACACAGGTGTTTTCATTTACTCTGCCTAGTTAGACTTCTTCTCAGGACTGTGTGTGTAAAGAATGTGTTTGAATGTGTTACACCAGCTTTTATCATTCTTAAATACACCATAGCTTTTGGGGTTGAACCATTTTCCTGAGCAAACATTTGCTTTCATTCATTTCAACACACAATGAGATTAATTTTATTTGAAATTTAACCTTTAAAGACCTAAAACTTGTCTCATAATACACTCTAAAATTGTCAAAGTTAAATAAGACTTTGTTGGGAGGGTTACTTTTGAAGTGTAATGGATACAGATTACTAGTTAGGTTGTCTGTTTCTAAGTGGCAACGCTGTGATATTCTGGCAACCTGTCCAGGGTGTGCCCCGCCTCTCGCCCAATGTCAGCTGGGATAGGCTGCAGCCCCTCGCGACCCCCCACAGGATAAGCGGTTACGGACAATAAATATTCAATATTCTAATGAATGAATGATGTGGGATATGCCAGTATTATTTAGGTTTTAGGAACATTTTTGTACATGTATACAGCACCTTCTAAATATGTTTCTCAATGGTGTTTTAACCGACATTTGCAACACACAACATCTTGCCTGTTTGTGGTTGGTTCAGTGCGTTGTCATAAATATACTGTGAATGAAACCAACTCGCCAACAGTTTGCAAGGTTGGGGTAGAGATGCATGCCCAAATGAAACACCCACATTTCTAGTTGGATGATAAAACACACCTACTTTTAAACATTATGAAAGACTTGGATATTAACAGGTTTTTGGATGTGTGCAAATATCAGAATGCTGATTTTTTTCAACAAAGTGGTTGAAGGACTGAAATAGAAGGGCTGCGTTTGCATGGCTGAAAACATCTACCACTATTGAAAAACTTTAGAAACAACTTTGGGAAACAACATGTTAGGGCATGCTGATCGGAGTATTCAGAATATTTGTTTTCATTAGCCATGTGAGCAGCTTAGTAGGAAGTGTCTTATTCAGAATAAGGGCAAAAAAAAAAAAAAATGCATGTAAATGTGGTCACTGTGTGATGTAACAGTTTGAAAGCTGTCCTTTCTGGTGTGTTCAAGGACACTTTAATATGTTACACTGGGGTGTCATTTCTCAAAGATCAGTACTTTTTCCAGTCAAGTCAGAGAAGCCAAAAAGATGTTTGTGTTTGCCTTTAGTTTCTTTTACAGGCATTATGACATATATTATGATATATTACACAGACATTATGAAGTGAACCTGTTGGACACATTGGAAATAACTCTAAGCATTGATGGTGCGCTGTGTGTATGTGTATTTACGTCTCACCTTGAACCGCCTGTATGGACTGAACTGTCGTACTTCATTCACCACATACTCTGAGAAGAACGAGTGGTTGAGGACATCTGAAGCTGTGTATCTCTGCTTTGGGTCCACCACCAGCATGCGAGAGATCTGAGGTAACAAAACAGAGACTTTTAGACATTCTGCTGTTATTGAAACCTCACGGCAGCTTCAAATTTTGACATCACTAACTGTCATAAGCAGCATCAATACTTAGTCAGACTAAGTCTTGTTAATTTAACCGGCATAAGTGGAGGTGAAGAAAAGAGCCTACCAAATCTTTCACAGTGTCTGAGCGGTCCACCCACTCTGGAGACGAGAAGTCGTACTTCCCGGCCAAGATCATACGCAGCATCAGCATCTGTTTCCTGTGCCAGAAGGGCGGAGAGCCTGCGAGCAGCGTGTACATGATCACGCCTGAACTCCATCTGCAGGCAGAATCCCGGAAAGAAGCAAGCTTACAGAGTTTGAACGGTATGTATATTGTTTTGTATTGTTTAGTATATATTATATCCGACATTCTTTTGGCTTTACTGTGTGTTCTTGTCTCTGCACACTCACATGTCCACAGCTGTAGAATATCCTGCATGCCCTCCGTCCATGGAGCATTCGATGATCTCTGGAGCGAGGTAACCAGGGGTCCCGCACACCTCTGCATGATGAGACACATCAAACTTGTGAACTTTGAGTATCTATATTTACAAAGCTCGAAAAGTCTATTCATAAGAGTGCAGTTTGTAGGTAATCTAACATTAACATTACATATTTATCTACTAAACAAATTATATGAGGCACAGTTTCATGAGATATTTGACCTGCCATTGGTGAAGTCTTATTTGAAAGGTCAGTGTACCCTGAGTGTCTGGGACTACAGCAAATAGATCTGAGTGTCTTCTTGCATCTTAACCTTTGTAAGAGCAGCTAAGAGACAGACCGGGGCATGTTGTGCAACCAGACCCAGATTCTCCGCTGACCGCCAGCAGCTGCTGGCTCTGCACTGTAGGTTGTAAACATAGTAGAGCAGGACGCTCATATATCCTCAGCTGAATATGCTGGGGTGAGAACATCCACTGTGCTCATGTTTAGATGTAAATCAATCCGTGATATTGGTGAATGCTCTTACATGCTGAATGCTTACATTGGTACGCTTTGGTAACTAGCTCCCGATAGCTACTAGGGAAACAAGAACACCATCCTCTTCCTGTTTTGGTTGCACAGTGGTTGAGGCACTTCCTCTGTGCTGTAAATGGAGCCGTAATTTTCCCAGGAGATCACACCAGGGACAGACAGGTATGCATAGTGAAAGTTAGGGTTAGGCAGAACCAGTCTAAAAGCCATTTCTCACCAGTGCAATAATAAACTGCAGTGCAGGAGTATCTAAAATCTGCATGTGATTTCTCAGCATGACAACTATGCAGTGGTTAGCATTGTCATTGTCACACACAGCAGTAGTTTTGGGCTCGAAACCCATACGGAGTTTGCATATTCTCCCCGTGTCAGCGGGGGTACTCCAGCTTCCTCCCACAGTCAAAGGCATGCAGGTTAACTGGTGACTTTAAATTACCCAATGGTGTGAATGTGAGTGTGAATGGTTGTCTTTCTCTATGTGTCAGCCTTGTGATAGTCTGCCAAACTGTCCACAGTGTACCCTGCCTCTTGCCCAGTGTCAGCTGGGATAGACTCAATCCCCTCTGCAACCCCAACAGGATAAGCGGCCACGGGAAATGAACGGGTCCAGTGCAAATTATCCATGTTACTGTGTTCTATTGTAACACGAATGAATAGCAAATTAAGTCAAGCAGTAGGAGAATTCTCCAGACGGAGAATGTCTAAATGGCTAACGTAAACTACACAATACATGAACTAATTGTACCCCAAATGTAATGCTAAAGCTAGCAGGTGTGACAAACATATACCGTCAGCAAGTGCATATTAACTACAGAACCATCTTCATCACATCTCAAGCCATATATTGCCCTTCGTTTGGCTGCTGAGGCAGTCATCACACTGTTTTTCATTCAGTATTGAGTGTTGAGAGACCAAATTGATAACTGATGGCATTAGTTGGAACAAAGGTTTTCATTGATCAAATTTCTGCAGGTGAAAAACTGCTGAAATCAAGGTCTGTCCAAATACTTTTGCCCCTGCACAAATGTTGCACAGGTGTGTGTAAGCATTAAGAAGAAGCCACAAAATCAGTCTTTAAACATTTTTATACTAAATTTTCAGATGAAATTTCCTGCTTGGTGTGAAACAGCTTTAATAAATGCTGATGGTGTGACCATTGTAAAGCAGTTACACCATGCAATCGACATGTACTTCACAATGAAAAGTGTCTATTTCCACTTTATATGTATTCAGATATTGTTTTTATGTTTGCCGGTTGGTTTCCATGCAAGCTTTCACCAACCTTTGAGCTTCTGTCCCGGCTTGATTTGCACAGCGAAGCCAAAGTCGGTGAGTTTGATGTTCATCTCGTCGTCTAAGAGGATGTTCTCAGGCTTCAGGTCCCGGTGGACGATGTTCTGACTGTGGAGGTACTGGACCACCTCCAGCAGAGCACGCATGATCTTCCTAAAACCAACACACACTTAAGGTCTATAAAGAATGAGAATAATTCATCGCTTTCGTCTTAGTGTATAAAACACTCACTGACCTGGTTTCCTTCTCACTCAGAGTAACTTTCTCTGTGAGGTAGTCAAAAAGTTCGCCCCTCTTCATCCTGTGGGAAAGAAAATAAAAAATTCAAACAGCTGCTGCTCAACTGAATTTGAGTTTTGTGAAACTTGAGGTTTGATACTTACAGGTCAAAAACCAGGAAGTAGAAGGCATTGGATGCGTAGCAGTCTTTGAGCTGTACTGGAGAGGGGAGGAGAGACATCTAAGGTAAACTGAGTATTAAATGAAGACGGACAACACTTAATAGGTGGATCACCTGAGAGCAAAGGCCAACACTGACTTCCTGAGCAGGTTAGTGGGACAAAGACAAGCTCCTTTGTCTTCTGAGACTCTTAATGTAGACTCATGCTTTAATAAAGCTGCTGATTCACACAGTTTTAGTTCAAATCTGACTTTCAGGGGGAACAAATGTTCTTACTGATGTTGTTCTGTCCGCAGACTTTCTTCAGGATGTCGATCTCCTTCACTGTCGCCTCCCTGATCTCCTCGATCTCCTGGGGGGTCATTTTATCCGAGGGGGTGATGTCGATGATCTTCACTGCGTACTCCTGAGACGTCCGTTTGTTGATGCAGCGACGCACCACGCTGCTCACTCCTCTGAGGAAGAGTAAGCACTTATTATCTATAGCTTGGTCAGGTCACTTATTTCCTCAGGGGTTTATGTTTGTACAGCTGGACTCAAAGAAAACATGTTTGTGTGCTTTGGTCAGGAATTTCTGTGACTGTTGGACGGTATGTTCTCAGAAGGGTTCATCCGATATACTACTCTAGCATCATCCATGGGAGAGTACCCTCATGTCGATGTGATGTGAGGAGCTTAAAGTCAGCTGTAATTTTTACCACTGAAATCCATGTCAGAGAATCATTCAGAAAATCACTGAATGAAACCAACTCTCTGCCCCCGGTTTGTGGAGCTGGCTGAGCCATGTGAAGAGTACGAGAGCAGCTGAACACAATGTCCAAATCCCGTGACCTCATGACCCGCATGTGAGAAAGGGAGTGAAATTACGTAATCTGACAGCATGCCAAACCCGGGCAGCTCTCAACACTAAACCCTTTGTCCAAAACACGCTGAAGTTAATGAATGCTGCCTCCCTGGACACTGTGTGCTTTACGTAACAGCACCCCCGTCTGACAGATGGTGGGGAATGACAATGAGACAGAAAGCTCAGGCGCTGCTGACATCTCTCACAGGGAGACTTCAGGGAGACCATTCGGCTTGTGTCTGTGCTGTCCACACCAACAGGGTCTAAGTCTAATGCACATTACTATCGTGTTGAGCTGTATTAAACTGTATTAGGCTGTTGAATAAAAAAAGCTGGAAAAACTGTGAATTTCTGGACCACAGTTTAAAGAAATGTATTTCTTTGTGCTAACTAAAGATGGCCAGTGGCACAACATTTTCGGCTTGTGACTCCTTAAAGGATTACCGTAACATTTTGAGGAAATATTTCTTGCATAGAGCTACATGAGAGGATTGATTTCCCTTTCCAATCTGAGAGTAAAATCAATCTTCTCATCAAACTCACAGCAAGTGAATGAGCTTAATTCCCAAACTGTACCTTTAGTATGAAGCAACATGTTTGGATTCGGCTCATCAAAGTTCTCACTCCCAGCTTCACCCATGCTTGGTCAGTGGCCCTACACCTCAAACTGTGACTCTCTAGGTCATTCTTTGGTTACATCTCCTATTGATTATTGTAATTCTGTCTTCTTTGGTCTCCCTCTCAAGTGTCTTCATAAACTCCAGTTGGTTCAGAATTCAGCCTCCCATATTATTACTAGAGCCCCCTCCATAGATCATATCACTCCTGTTCTCCAGCAGCTTCACTGGCTTCCTGTTAAATATCCCATCAATTTCAAGATTCTGCTTCTCACCTTTAAGGCCCTTCATAATCAAGCCCCTTTCTAACCTGTCTGAACTCCTTCATATCTACACACCCTCCCCTACACTTAGATTGTCTTCTGCAATCCAGCTCACATCACCATCAGCCTGCTTGACTACCATGGGGTCAAGAGCCCCCCACCTCTGGAAGTCTCTCCCCCATCACATTCGCAATATTGACTCACTTTCCACTTTCAAATCCCGTCTGAAAACACACCTTTTCAAGCTGGTATATTCAGTCTAATTTAATGGTGACACACATATTGAGACTTGCACTGATGATGATTTTATACCTAATATTTATAATCAGGAGTTTTGTCTAGTCATTTTATTAACTGTTGTTGTATATTATGGATTTTATGATCATAGATACTTTGCTGCTTGTTTTTTTAACTTGAGACTTGTAAGGTGTCCTTGAGTGCTTTGAAAGGCGCCTATAAATAAAATGCATTATTATCATTATTATGTACCCTTACAGCGTCACCTTTGAAAGCTCAGGAACAATGTGTCAGTTTACTCTTGTTACATGCATTGTGTATTTTCAATATAAACTTCCATTTTCACGGGAAATGTACAGTTTCCACTCATTAAATTCACACAGGCTACAAAAGCACATGGTTAGGTTTATATGCACGTTTGTTACTAATGTAACATCATGTGACATACATCAAATATGTCACAGCGTAGTATGCTACACATAGTAGCACACTACGTTATTATCTATGGTTTCACACGGAACACGAAAAGCAGTCTCCCAGGTGAAAGTCCAAGTTTGTTTGACCCATCCACCTCCACTTCTAACTGCCGCTAAGGGGTGCCTCAGTGCCGAGGTACCTGAAGGCAAAGACCATTGCCCAACGTATGACAAGCTAAATGTGAGAGAGTTGCATCAATGGTTGCAGATGTCTACTGTCCTTTTTTGTGTCCTTAATTAAGAAAATTGTCCATTCCAGCCACAGACTGTATAAAATAAGAAAACAGCTTCAACAAATATCAGAGGAATCATGTGACTCCTCAACTTAAACGTGCTATCCCTTATGAGGGTCCTGACCCTCAGATTGGAAACGCCTGCTGTGGGCTATTTTAAGACTTAATATACATACCTTCCCAGAATCTCCTTGGACTCATACTTGTCATAGAACTCCTGGGCTCCCACCGAGTCAGGGACCTCCTCCTCTCTAGTCATGGTGCCTGTGATGCCGGTTCACCCACCGAGGCTGCACGACTGCTCTCCTCTCACAGCTCACAACGGTTTGTATTTTTGCCACAACACAGCTCTGTAAAGATGAGATGGGAAAGTACCACTAATGATAATGCACTTATAAGCCTCATATGTCAGCAGGTCATGGTCACACTCATTTAAGTGTTGAGCTACAATGATTAGTTGACTACTTAGTAAGAAAAATTAACCAGCCACTGTGTTGATAAGCAATTATATGTTCCAGTTATGCAGAAGTACCAAACATTTGCCAATTGCATTTTCTCAAAGGTGACTGTTTGCAGCTCTTTTCATATTTATATTGGTGTAAATGAAATGTTTTTGAGCTGACAATCAATTTATAGATGTCACTTTGGGCTAAGAAATTGTGATGGGCATTTTTAAAAATATTTTTTTGACATTTAAGAGGTGATCAGTCAGTAATTTAGAAAATAAATGGTAGATTAAACGATAATAAAAATATTTAAAATCATTTCCTGAACTACTGTAGCATACTGTTGGATGGATCAGTCTGCAACAGTGCATTTAGTTTTATTAATCGATCATATGGTTTGCATGTAAGATCTTATTTCATGCACATTTCACCTTGGCTACAATGAATGGTTTAAGAGGGTTTGAAGAGGCTTACTTTAAGGATTTTGTTAATGTTACAGGCAGAAATAATGTCGCCTTGTCCTACTCATATTGATTGCACAGCTCTAATAATCGATCAATATGTGTTTTGGATCGAGACTGAGTGTCATAGCCGACATATCATGGAGCCTAGACTAATAAAGCAATATGCCACAGTGTGTGAACTAGATCTCCTCTCATCCTCTGTCACTATTTGACCTTTAGCAGGCTTCAGAAACCAACTAATGCATTAAAGAAAAGAAACAAATGGCTTGGTCACTCACCGTGTCCCGTGTCGCTCAGTCCCTGATATAAAGGCTATCCATCATTATCACTCGAGTCTGTGTACAAAGTGGCAGAGGACGGACAAAGAGCTGCAGTCAAAGCCCGGTGCTGTCGCTGCTCGGAGGGGCTGCTGCCATTGCAAAGGGTGAGCCTTAATGTCAGATGCCAAAAATAAATTGCTGCCTCCACAGCCAGCAGCACACTCTGGACGCGTGTCCGCACAAAAACCAGATCCATGAAATAACACCCTGCAGCTCCTGCCCGTGCCATGAGATATCACAGAGAGGGCTGTCCTACATTACCAACACTACTCCACATGCAACTACTAACACGTGGGTTTGCACTGAGGCTGGAGTGACGTGACAGGTGCAGGTCCTCTGTGACATCTTATGAAAGAAAGATGTAAATATAGTAATGCTTCTTAGAAAGTCCAGTGGAATAAATCATCACACCCTAGCTGTTGTTTTTATTTGATTGAAGTGCTTTATTATTTTTGAAACTTGTTGCAAACACACAGGTGGAAACTACACAGTTATGATCTACAATTGCATCTCATCAGTTTAAATTAAAAGCACTAATGAAAAACAGACAACTGAAATCAACTCGCAGCAATATATATATAAACATTATTTATACGACTATTATTACAAATTCTGCAGCACTGTCCTGAGAATGAACACAATGACACAGTCTGATGATGATCAACTGTCAAATTAAAGCATGTTTATTGATCTCTTGTCCAGCCGGGTTATTTATTATAGTTTGTGTGTGCTCTTCACTTTGCAGGGTTTTGTCTCAGTCTCACGACAGACCTGTGGAGAAAAAAATGTAATTAAACCTCCCATCTATAATATTTCATTCTGCAAATGTAAACATCCTACAGGAGAAGGAAATAAGCTGGAAGCATTCAGAAAAAAGCCTTTGACGCCTCCCTGTGGCCACATGGTGTATTACAACACATTACATCAGAACCATGACTTGCATAATACAAAGTCCTTTGGCTGTGACGCCTCTATGACAAAGTGCTTACACAAGTCCTCCTTATTTGGCTGTGTGACAACTGTAACAATGCAACAGAAACAAGACTCTGGAGACAATGGATCAATCTGTTATAAAACAGGAGTGTGCAAAAAAAAAAAGAAAGAAAAATTATAACACTACAATTACCTTAGTGGTCCCAGACTGCACCGTTGGACTGTCATAAACATCTATCAACAAGCTTTTAATTTCCATGTAATGTTATTTCATACAACTCCCCCATTTTCACTCACCATTAGCGAACTTGCACTGTTTCAGCACCTCGCTGAAGCCCTCGCAGAGCTTATAGTCGCTCTGGTTTTGGGCACACTCGATGAACTGTTTGAGCTCATACGAGCAGGCCTGCTGCTGCTGAGGGGCCTCCTGCTGCATGTACATGGACTGTGGCTGCTGCTGGTAGGTGGGCTGAGCCTGGTACGGTTCCTGAAAGACACAAAGCAGATGATGGGATCTTTCACAAATATACCGTACACATTCCTAATTTGAGAGCAAGTTCATGATTTTTGTCTGGTATTTGTTTATAAATGTGACACAAAGATAAAACGTGACATTGTCTTGTCAATACTATCAGAAAAATGAAGCATATCCATCCATAAAATATTGAAATGCCGTCATGCAGGTGTCAAATTGTTTGAAAACATCTTACATGCCAAGATATGTGACAAGTGGCTTAGCTTTTTACGATTCCCTTCAGATTTTTAAAAGACAGACAAGCAGGTGGAATCAATCAGCACTCAGACACCTTAATACCTACAATAAATATACCCAGGTAAAGGTAATAGTATGATTATGCACATAGACTTCCCCGATAACCTGACATGATTTGGCAGCCTACAAGTTAACACTACTCTTCCTCCTCCAACAACCCCCAAACGCACCTGTTTTTTGTTACTGCTCCCTACCTAGACAAACTAATCTGTCCCGAGGCTATTCCGGTCCTGTGAGCTGCTTAACCAAAGTTTATTTACCTGGTATGTGACATCAGGCCTGGCAGGCTCTGAGTGTCCTCCGCCGAAGCCTCCAGTCATGGCGTGGCCGATGGTGTGTCCTACCGCAGAGCCCACAGCCACGCCAGCGGCTGTAGTTGCCATCTGGGCAAACATACCAGGCTGCCTGGGTGCTGCGGCCGGAGCACCCACAGCAGACGGAGGAGCATGCGTTGGAGCCGGGGCATACGAAGGAGGAGGTGCAGCTCTGGCCATAGGTGGTGGTGATGGTGGAGCCCGGCTGTAAAGAGAAAGTCGTACATGTGTACAATGAAAAGTGCTGATGCTAAAGTTCAAGACAGTCATGGCACTAAAGAAAAGTGACTGTAAATATTTAAGTTTTTCACCAGGGCAAACGTTTGACCATGGGATCCTTCTTGAGTTTAAAATGACAAGTGTGCAGAAGGGTGATTAAACAGTAGAAAATATCAGTGTGAAACTGTATGTGGTGTCACTTGAGGTCACTGATATGAGCTTCCCTCTGGGCAGTTTAGGGCTATTTATACTGACAGACTCATGTTGGGCTCAGTGTCTTGAGTCCACAGCTTTAATGCAGCACTTAATCTGAACTAGATGTGGGTAACATGGTCCCATATCACATAAATAAGTTATATAGTAAAGCAAATGTGATGCCAGATAAGTTAGAGGTATTCAAAACACATTTAAACTTTACTATAATACTACACTTAACATAATCCCATATGGTGTCAAATAGCTATAACCCTGACCACCAGAGTGTGGCTTAACAAAAATAAAGTCTAGAGGGAAGTCGCATTAAGTTGTACAAAAGGAAGACATTAAGATATACAATAATAAACATTATAAGTTAGTGCTGCTTAATGTATCTGACTAGCACAAGCTAACATGAGTAACTGTAAGGCGCTAGCTGAACATGCTAGCAGCTACATTAGCCTTCACACCATCCCGTCACAACTGCATTAAAACTTTTATTAAATGTAAGATAATAAAATGTTACCTGGCTGGAGGGGGCATCCTGGATGTCCTGCTTCTGCTTCCTCTTGGCATTTTTTAAATTATGTGTATATTTGTGAGGTTTCTGGCTGTTAAATAGAGACGCAGTACTGAGCGGTTAGCTGAGTGTCGACCTTTAGCTAGTCCGGAACTTTCTGGGTGTTACATCATTTGTGTCTCGGGTAACTTCCGGTGTGACGGTGACAACAGGGGTGCTTTCATAAGAAATATATTTATGTGTATATTTCTTGTCTTTATATTTGTTTAATTGCTCTATATATTTTCTTTAGCGTGAACTATGCGTCTAGTAGTAACGTAGGTATTTTTTTTCCTGGTAAAAGTCAACCCAGTGACCTTGGGTGATTTTTTTAATCCGTTGCTGTTTGTCCATAAACAGACACAGAGGTTCCTTGTGTACAAAACTGGTTCAGAGTGGCAAGACACATACTGGTAATGTGAATAAGGCATGACATATAATTGTAACATGAGTAACAAACTCAATCAAGTTCAAGTGAAGCTAAAACCTCACATTTATAACTGAGTTATATTTTGATGGTGCTTACATTTCAGTGACCCAGAGAGCATAGAAGTCCTTTACCGACATTGTAACAGTACAATGACATTTTTAAAGAGTGACAAGTGACAACCCAGAAAAATACCTTAATCACATCACCAATAAATAAAAGTAAAATAAATAATAATCAACAATAAGAGGCAGATGTTGCTATTGCACTTAATGTATGTAATGTCACCCAGACTGCAAATGAAAATTAGGACAGTTTATGAGATATGGGAGTTTAGATTCTGATGGCCCAGGGAAAGAAACTGTTTGTTAGTCTGTTGTTTCTGCTTTTAATGCTTCCCATTTATATAACATACCACCACCTGTCATTACGCCAGGATCCCTTTCAAGGATCACCTCAAACTTCTAAGTTCTCAAGGAGGAGATGGAGGCCCTGCAGGAGGCTTATCTGGGAGATAAAGAAGAGGAGATGGAAGGAAACATGGAAAACCCCTATCAAAATTGTCCTTTGACTTGCATCAAGACAATAAGCCCTTTGTGGTGGCAGAAGTGAACAAATAAAGAGTGAACGATCAAGTTGTCTTTCATGTTATTTAATAAAGTGATGGGATCTTATTTCAGCTGAAAGGTCAAAGCCCCGACACCTGGAGTGTCCTCCGTAGGTCTGACAAAGAAGAACAGATTCAGTCACACAAAATAATTAAAACTCAGAAGAGGGACAGCAAAATGAAGGCCTCCAGTTTGCTGATAACGTCTATGAGAGCAGGAACAAAGCAAGTCTCTCATACACAGATGATATGTGTTCAAAGACACAGTGAAACTAGACTTCAGCACAAGAGGCCAGCAGCATACTCTCTCAACAGCAGCTCCTACACACATAACTGTTTTTTTTGACTACACCCATCATCCAGAGAGCTGCAGGGAAAAGGCAGCATCAAATCTATGTGAGGCAGACCTGTCCCATAAGTAGAACCAGTCACTGACTGAGCTGGAGCTAACGGCCCAAGACTGGGCACAGCGTTTGTTGGAGCAGGCCATCACCTCAAGGATGAAGCAAAAGGATGAGATTATAAAGCTCATCAAGGTTGAAAGCAGCTGTAGACACGTGGACCTGTATGTCTACGCAAAGTTTAAAAATTTGCCTGAAAGTGAACCTCTCAGTTATTGGCAGTGTAAGTCACACATGACACTCAGATCCATAAGAAAAAACAGATCCAAGCAGAGCTGTCAGAGGAGGAGAAGCGTGTGGATACCATGATGGAAGCTGAACGCTGTAAGGGTTCAGAGACAGTGGAACACATTGATGATCTGTGCGAACAGCAGAGGATCTGGAGAGTAGAGCTCTACTAGGGAACACAAATAAATCATTCACGGACTGATTTGCATGCATTTGAAGTTGAAAAAATACTCTTATACTTCACTGTCGGGATACAAAAACTTTTGCTTTTATTTCTTTTGACCCACTCAAACCACTGACATCCCTTAAAAGAACCCTTTTATTATCAAGCTTAAAGACAAAGGGCTTTATTGTAGTCAAAATGTATGTGTTGTTATATTCCAGTGGCAACATCTGGAGGAGAAACAAGCGCGAGACGAGATGACAGAGAAGGAGAGACAGCAGATGCGAGAGAACCAGGTGAATGAACCTGGATGACCTCAAGTTGCAGAAGCAACACTAAACACACGCATTAGAAATAAGAGTACAGATGTATCCCTGTATAAACTGATGCACCTAAAGGAAGCACCAGCACTGATCAGGCTTTCTTTCAGACACAAAATATGCACACCAATTAGTGCCCCAATCTTCCTGAAGCAGGGAGGCTGAAAGAGCGTCACATTAAACGGTGGTTGGTAATTAAACAGGTATTTCTAGGTTGTCTTAAGCGTAAAAGCAACATTGTACATTAGATTATACAAAATAACAATACATTTCTGTGTTTAATAGGTTTATTCTTTAGCTATATATAAATGTGCAAAGCCAACATATATATATATATAAAAAAAAAAGTATTTTTCTCAACAGAAATATTACAAAAATATCCGGTCATATACCAGTGCTTTATAGCAATCATAAGCTTTTCTAGAAAAGTACACTCAGGTATGAGTATGTACTATAACTGAGAATTATGCACATCTTTAGAACTATAAAATTAGATCACATGTTGCATTCAACGGCCATATTTGATTTCATAAAACGGATTTAAATAAAGAAAAATGATCACTTATTTCTCTGATAAAGCAGTGGGAGAAAAACATCACTCTTTTTTCCCTTTCTTCTTTTTATCTGAAAATCTGCGTCGCTGCTGGTTGTGTCCGCCTCCTCGTCCTGATCTGTTTCCTTTTGATCTGCGATCTTCCCACCTTGGCATAGGTGGCTCAATTTCCCCTGGTCGCCCTCCTCTGTCCGGTACGCTGCCCATCAACGTCTAGTGAGAACAAAGAAACATTAAAAGCCATCTATACTCTGAGCTACAGACAATCACCAGCATGATAACTGATTACGGTTGTACCTTGTAGACGGGGGTTCTTTCCCCAGCTTTGATTGGCTCAATGAAGGACTGATCCTCTCTGGCGGCGATCAGAAGAGACAGGGAGACTCGGGAGGAGCTGGCGAGGGATGACAGAGGAGGCACTGAGGCCAGCGCCTCATTGCGCTCCTGTAAATAAAGGACTAATTGAACAGGGATGTTTGCTGTTATCATGACGCACACTGATGCTTTTGTTTCACCCATATAATCTGCTGCAGCAGGAGACATATTTTCACAAGAGTTGAAACAAGTAGGGGATGAGTCAGCTGACAGAGAAGTAGTCAGCAGCAAATTTAATATAGATTGAGTCATTTTTAGCCACACTGGTGGTAACGCGGTGTGTTCCCAATGAATATATCTCCTGTATGCTTCACTCCTCAGTAGAGGCTTTTTATAAAGTCTGGGACCCTTACTCAAAGTACATTGGACCAACACTGTCATCTTCCATATTACAGGGGTTTCCTAAATCAGCTTAGCCAGTCTCTGTACATTGCCTGTAAATCAGTCTTCTTGGAACCCTGCTGTTTGCCTATACAGCCTGTTTGTTTGTTTGATGCTGCCTTTGTGTGGCTGTAGGAGGTGATGAAGGTTGGAGATGTAATTATTGCCCACTTTTTTATTATTATTTCTTTTCTCCTATTTTCTTATTTTTATCTACTCATTAGACTTATTTGTCATGTCATGTCTATGCTACTAGCATCTTAAAAATGTAATATATTCTTTAAAGAAAAAGAAAAGAAATTAAAATGTCTTCAAACTTTATTGGAAGTGTGTTTAGCTCGCTGCAGAGCTGTGTATCCACAGCATGGTGAGGGCAGAAGACACTCAGTTAAACCCAACTAACAACCAAATGATCCACACTGGTGTGACTGTTCTTGAATTTGTGAAAAAAAAAAAAGCTTCTGGCATGTCTCCTCGGTGAACAGAGAATCCAAGTAAGACAAACATCCTTCATGAATTAAAGTTAAGAGGGGCCGGGTTTAACAACAGCAAAACTATATCAAATATCAGTTAACAAAGTCTCACAGTATAATCCAAGTCTCCTTCATCCAGTCATATTCTCATTTTCTCTTAAGCAGAGGTGTCCAAACTTTTTTGGCCAGATTAGATAATGTGAAAATACGTCTGGGTCAGTTGCTTCCTGCATCAGAGTCACTTTCCACCGCTCTTGAAAGCAGCAGCCCTCGCTGTCGACTTTACGTTTCTTTGGTGCAGCCATATCTGTTATCTAGCAGGAAATGTCTGCTGCTAGGTAACTCTTTGTTAGCTTGTTTACAATATGTTTATGTAAACACAATAGCTCTGCCTGCATAGTTTCTACTTGGTGCATGGCTACAAATTACGAACTTGCTTGCCTAACTAATATTGTGTGACAGTATATTTTGTTTAAAATCATCCCCTGGGCTGGACTTTGGACATGCCTGCTCTGAAAAATTATGATTTAAAACTCCTTCGCCTACAAGTAGCGCGACCTGAGCGTCCCTGAGCACGTGTGTACCCAGACACACTGTTTGTACAGACTTGTTTTAAATCATAATGTGTTTAGAGAAAATGCATGTGTTTGGGAAGTACTGAGAATAAAACAGGATAAATGAGACTTGGATTATGTTGCACGAGTTGTGTCAGTTGAGGATTTTTTGATATAGTTTTGCTGTTGTAAAACAGTTCCTGTTTACTTTGATTTCTTCAAGGGGTGAGTAATTGATACACAAATGGTCATTTTGTAGGTGAAATATTCCTTCAAAGTGAGTTCTAACAGATGCAATGAGTGCCTACCTTTTGTTTTTCTCCCCATGCAAACGACTGAAGTGTAACCTGGAAGCGCTTGATCATCATTTCCCGCCGACACCGATAGTCCTCTGTCAGAAGTTGATTGATCTTTTTAACTTTCATCTGAAAAACAGAAAATAGGAAAAATAAGGTTGAAATACTTGTTTTAAGAATTACTTGTGACGTGTAATGAACTGCTAACAGCTCTGGCTACATACCCACTGCTCTGAGCTGAGGCTCTTGTTAAGAAGCGGGTTCGTCATGTCTCCAGATGGCAGACGAGCGAGCCTCGACTCCACCTGCATTGAAATAGCATGTTAAAAAATCCTCTCAGTGCTTCCCAGTTTGTAGTCACGACACATCTCAATCTCTTACGTCAAACTTACCTCTTTCAACACATCTGTAAATTCAGCGGAGGAATCCATGTCAAGGGCGTGCAGCAGTAAGGTCCACTCTGCCTGCATCTCTGCCTTCCTTCTGTCTTTGTCATCATCATTTTCACACTCCTGACAAAGCTCAGTGCTGTGATATTCAACTCGCTGCTCTTTTTCAGACTCCTCTCCTGTTGTCTTCTCGTCAGGATGCGTCTCTTTATGCTTCATTATACGAGCTGCTTGCAGTTCTGATACAAGGAACTCTAAAGGATTGAACAGTAATTTTAAGATAATACACAAATCCACAGGGACTATAATCATCTGTTAGTACCTTAAACGCACCACTCTATAACAGAGCCCATCGCACTCTACGATTACTCACCAGTGACTTTGTTGAGGCTGGATGGCTCCAGCACCTCTGAGGTCAGCACAGTGAGCGGAGAACACATGTTTGACAGTACATTTCTCAGCTCTCCCACCAGCAAGATGTGACCTGTCATGTCTGAGTCTGGAAAAAGGAAAGACAAGGTAATTTCATTTACACAGTACAAGTGCTCTGTATTAAAAATGTATGCAGCAACAAGTAACAAGTACAGAAGAATACCGTAAACAAAATACAACAACCATTCTGTGCAGTTTAATATAGTACACGGCACTTTCATTTATGCATTGTACGGCCATTTGGAATTACCATCTTTTGCTGTCCAATTGTATTAGTGGCAGGTAGATATATCGGCTGATATTAGCCTATTGCAGTTGGCCAAGTACATGGCTTACTTTGTCCACTAGAAATTTATTTGTCAACTCTAAAATGTCCCACTTAGTAAATAGCTGGGACACAATTTGGTAATCCTTGTTAAATAAAATGTCTATTTTCTATTTATACTGAGCATCTTTGGCACAAATAAAAGGTCTATCTTATTTCTTTTCATCTTAATAACAGAAGAAAATTACAATGCAAAACCTGGAGAACCACAAAAACAAACCCCAGACATAAACTACAAATACAGATAAACATTGTGACTAATTATATTCCTGGGACATAAAGACAAAGTTACGTAAAAGTCCGCTATTTGTCTGTTTAAATGCAGAGGAAGTTGTAATAGATCTCAGGTCATTTGCCAGGTAGTTTCTTAAAAAATAAATTAAAAGAAAAACATGGAAAAACATCAGAACAAACAGGATCTGAATGTTATTCTTATGTATACAGTTTTAAGTAAGGAACACCACTTAAAGGGGAACTTCACCCATTTTCAAACTTCATACATTTTATTCCTATGGGGTCTAATATAGTCCAAAAATATTAGTTAGCATGAATAACTTTCCCAAATCCAAAAGTTAGAGTGCTAAATCTCAAATCTGTGATGTCATAGGGCAGTGGTTTTGAAACTTGGGTGCACACAAAAGGGCAACGTGTGTTATCACTCTTTTCATAAGACAATATAAGACAATAAAAATAAGAAAAAATAAGACAGGTAGCTTTTGTGATGTTTTTTTTCCCCTTTCTTTCAGTGGTAGGTTGTCTTCACTGGTGCTTTGTTGTAATTTGCTTTGTGCAATAAAGTGATCAATGGTCCCACTTACGACTTTCTCCTTTTAAAAATGATCATCCCTCACACTGGCAGCTAATCAGGGCTTTGGATGTGTCACATATTTATAATTCCCGTGTGTGAACGGCTACAAATAGGCTCCCCATGAAGGTTTTTTTTTTTTTACATTAAATTAAATTACATTTTTAGCTAGAGTTTTCCTCTTAATTAGGAAATGGGTGTACACAACATACTGATACAGTCAATAAAAAAATCAAGATAACTGTTTGTACAGGCCCAGTTGGATCTTGCAATAATACTGTGTGGTTAGCACAAAATCCCATGGCACTGTCATGAGGTATAAAGTCTGGAGCTGCTCCATTGACAATGAATTGGAGAAAATGTTACAGATGACACTGTGAGCACCCAGGGGAATGTTCTGGGTATTTAGGTATATTATTTGTTTCACAGCTGAGAACACTACAACAGAATGAAGCTCATTTGGGTATCAAAAAGAAAACAAGCATTCTGCACATTGTGTCTATGGAGCAGCTCCATACTTTATACAATGACATCACAAGTTTGAGACTTCCTTCTGTGGTTTCTGGCTTTGAGAGAGAGCAGCTCATGTTCACAAATATTGATCAAACTTTCCTGGGCAATGGACATGACATATTGGCATTCCTAATTTAGGAAGTGTTCCCCTTTAATGACTTTAAAATGTTAATAATAAAAACCTTGTAGCTCTGGACACACAGTCCTCAGCTCTTCAGTCAGCCAGGTGAGCAGCGGACAGGGAAGCTCGTCACAGTTACACCTGGAGAGGCAGGAGCTGCCCGGGTACCTGAGCAGGAAGTAAAGACGACAGGTGAAATTATTACCTGCCGCAGGTCGGCAACTATCTAAATACACCGGAGAGGCCTGAATATTGATACTACATTAAAGGTAAACTAGAGAATGGAGTGCTCATAAATCACAGCTAGCTAACCTGTGTTATACTGTACCGAAGATTAGCTTTAAATGGACTGCTAACATTAGAGCCATATTTTATAACAGAAAATAAAGGTAACTACGCAGCAAACAAGACAGCAGTTACTCACCCTAAAGCTTTAATGGCGGACACTGTCCCTGAGCTCCTCTCCATTGTCACAATAACGATATTACTCTGTTACAGTAAGAAAGCTGTACCCAACTCATGAAAGTTCAAGCGCGTTTTAACTGGCTCTTCCTCTTTTTACAGTGTTTAATGGCAGGGCAGGTCACACGCCGCCACCTGCTGGCCGGAGTGTGTACTGCATGTATAACAATTTAATAAAAATAATTCACGCAACAGTGAGCTATAAAAGAAATACATGAATAAATCAATGCATTTTGAAATAGAAAAATTACAAAAAAAAAAAGAGCAAATCATGTAGGAAAATATATAGAGACGAAAAGAACAGGGGCTTTATACAAAAATGCTTTACATTGGCATCTGTTTAAAAAAGTATAAACAAAAAATATGAAATCACAACAACAAAACATAAAAAAATATACTGAATACAGAAAGGTACAATTAGTATAATTCAATTTAGATAAAAAAAAAATTAAAACATTTAATCAAAGAATGATAGGTCATTAATCAGTGACATTTCTGTAACATCATATTGAGCTCACATAGCCTACCCACATACAAGTGCAATGCTGAATCAATGGGTATTCATTAAAATAATTTTTTTTTTTTTTTATAATTTATAACAATAATTGATATGGTATTATACCATAGAAATTACTATCTATAACATAATCTTAAGCCATTTATTTATAATAATAATAATGATAATAATAATAATAATAATAATAATATTAAACTTTATTTATACAACACCTTTTAAAACAAATTCACAGAGTTCTTTAAAAAAAATAAAAAGGAATAAAGCACCCAAAAACAAAATATAAAATTAAAACAATAATAACAAAGCAAGACATGTTGGAAATGAAATCACTGTGCTCAAATGGAAAGTGTTTCTTGAAATATAATAAAATAGAATAAAATAAAACCAAAATAATATTTTACATTCAAAGATGTCACTGATTCTGCAAGTATGAGATTAAAAGAAAAGTTATGCATTATTTTTTTTATTTTACATTATTTTCTAAAGCTGAAACTGTGCAGGGTAAGTATAGTATGTGATAGTAGCCTAACTTTCCTGTATTTTCCACATAATACTATTAATATTGCCATTTTCTCTGACTCCACCTTGGCCTCTTCTTGACAAGAAACTTTCTCCCTTGATTTATAAAAAAAACTGTGATACTGATGTAACATGCTTCACAGTATCTTTCCCTTAATCAAAACTCCAGTAGAGGAACACAGTGATGGGTTTTACATTTCTGTCCACCAGGAGCCACTAGAGGTCCATTGCAACTGCCTTCAATGGTGCAAAGTAAAACTAAGTACATTTACTCAAGTACTGCAACTAGGCGCAGTTTTTAGGTACTTGTACTACTTGAGTATTTCCATTGTATGCAGCTTAATTTTTACATTTCAGGTTCAAATATTGTACTTTTTCTTTAGTTACAACTTATGAGATAAAACTGAAACCAAAATTAAAATGCTGCTTACTTGTAAATGCTTCAGAAATTCATAATATATAGTGTCACTCACCATGTTCTGGCTCTGCTGCATTATCCTCTTCACCTTCTTTATGATCAGTGCCTATAATATTTATGTACCTTTTACTCATGCGGCATAATTTGACACACTCAGCACTCTCAACACCATTAGAGGTGTTGCTGATGCAGGCGGTGCAGCTAATGTTTGCTCCGGTGGAGCTGGCTGTGCATACTGACAGTGTTATATACAGTATTATAGTTGTCAGCAAGCACTAACAAGACATCTTTGATTTAAAACGTCACAGAGGCTTTTACAGTTGTCAGTTCTGCCCGGGCACAACTTTAAGTCTTTTCCTTTTTTATATTTCATACAGAGGCTCTCACAGCAGAAAACCCTGAACTTCTGTGTTTCCATCACTGTTATAGCAAAGTGGGATACTCCTCAGTGGCGTGACTCATGTGGTCTCCTCTGTGTGTGCAGCTTTACCACGTGTCACACTCAGGACACAAGCAGCCTGTAAATTGAACAGGGACAATGAAGACAGTGGCTGAGTACGTCCTTCTACGTTTGCTGCCATATGTGCAGAAGCTGTGCCGCCCTCGACAACAAAAGCGCTGCCATGCGTCAGGATGCTGCGTCTTTTATTCCCCCGACACTGCCCACTGCTCCATGAAACCTTGTGGGGGCTGACCTTTGACCTGTGGCACGCAGTCAGACAATACAGGCAGACACTCCCCTCGTGCGTGGACTTGTTGAGCACTTGTTAGGCGGATGAATCACTGGCAGTCAGATTCTTTGGTTTTCTTCAAAAAAATCCTGCAGGCCTGAATATAATATACTCTGGACATCCAAAATGTGCAGTGCAGTGCAGATCATGCAGTGAGTGCAGTGTCCGAAATAAATAAAAAATTAAAAAAAAAAAAATTATACATCGTGAAAGTTTCTCATTAGACAAGTTTTATTAAAGTGTTTTGTACAATGAATAAGGGCTGAGTAGGAGTGGGTGTTATGAAATTTTATTACACAATATAATTAATTGAACAATTGGTTGTAAAATCCATTGAGAAACTGTTAATGGATAAAATAATCAGGCACAATAAACGTACTTATATCATCTCCCTACACATAGTGTCATATTGCCCACGGGTTATGTCAGGTGGTAAAAAAATTGGTACACTTTGTGTTAAAGAATGAGAACAATCAGACAGAATAGGGCTCATATGGATAAGCAACAGTAAAACGGGCTTTTCAGTGATGCAGGAGACATATGGGATGTTAAACAAAAAGTGTTGTGACGCACTGAGGTGAAAATAAAAACTATGTCATAACAAAATATGCAGGATGCATTCATGTTTGTGTAGAGTGGGACAGATGTTACACAGTCAAACAGAAAAATGGAAATGTAGACCTTAAATGGACAATGATTATTAATATGATAGGACCATGAGTAATTTCTCCATTTCCTGTGTAAATATGACATGTACACCTGTTACCTAAGACTCATAGTGGGAGAGATGTAGGTAGTTAAGATGTAGAGAAATCCATAGGTGGATTATGAGACAATGGGCCCCTGAGCAAAAATATGTCAATGGACAAGAATAGTAGGAGGACACACAGACTTTGTGGTGGTTGTTTGTCTCTTTGTAGTCGTTATGCATCTTTATGTGTGTAGTGACTGTCAGGGACAAAAGCTGCTAAGAAGCTGAATAGGCTCTTAACTGTGACTCATTCAAAGAAATCCATGCCGACATCCAAAGACGTGTTTCACAATGATTTTTTAAACAAACAACTGGATAACTGAAGCAAAATGAGATGAAACAAAATATTACGTGATGTGATTACACTCAACAGAAAATTTCAGAGCCAAAAAGTTACCCTCTTTGTCTAAAAGCCGTCACACCAGTGTATGAACAGGTAAACACAAGAACACAAGAACAAGAACGTGTGTGGACTACAAAAAAAATGTGTTTTTTGTGTCTCTGTTATTGTTTTGTGTCTTTTTTTGGTCATTTTTAATAGTTGTTTTGCCCATTGTTGTAGTTACTATGTGTGTCTTTGCAGTACATTTGCATCTCTTTGTGGTCATTATAAGTCTCTTCCTGGTCAGTTACATGTTAATTTAACTAACATTTTGCAGGTGATGGCCAGGGGCCCCCAGACGCTTTGGCCCCTGTGCCTGTCAGGCCTGTTCAATAATCCATCCATGGTGAAATTAAAATGGAAATGCTTGATTTTTAGGCTGATCCATTCTAATGACTGGACAGTTAGAAATCCATGTGCAATCTCTAATTTATTCTTCCCTCCATTTCGCTTTGTAACCCCCCCCCTTCCACAAGACCTCTGGTGGGGACGTAAGAACCCCAAAATCAAACATACATATTTTTCTTCTTACCTGTAGTGCTATTTATGAATCTAGATTGTTTTAGTGAGTTGCCGAGTGTTGGAGATATCAGCTGCAGAGATGTCTGACTTCTCTCCAATTTTTTTTTTTTTTTTTAAGATTATTTTTATGGGCTTCTTGCCCCCATTGACAGGACAGAGAGTGAAATGGGGAGACAGAGAGAGAGCGGGGACCGACACGCAGCAAAGGGCCGCGAGCCGGATCCGAACCCGCGTCCGCTGCAGGGAGGCGATGCTTCTGCACATGGGGCGCCGGCACCACCCACCACGCCACTGATGCCCCGACTTCTCTCCAATATAATGGAACTAGATGTTTTCCTGTAGGAACTACTTACTCTCTACCCAACTACATCTTCCAACCGTATCACCGTGCTGAAGGAAGTGTGCATCTACTCATCGACGAAAGGCTTGTGCTTGTTACAATGCGATGATAATTAGCAACAATGATATTCTTACGCGAGGGTAAGGGTTACATCCCATTGCTCATAAGGTGAATCATGTCTTCATGTATTATGTACAATAAAGTGGATAACTGCTATGTTTGACCTCATTTATTCACTACAACCATTCATTTTCCGTAACAGCATATCCTGTTGGGGGTTGCAGGGGGGCTGGGGCCTATTGGGTGAGAGGCGGGGTACACCCTGGACAGGTCGCCAGACTATCACAGAACTGACAAATAGAGACGGACAACCATTTACACTCACATTCACACCTACGGACAATTTAGAGTAACCTGCATGACTCTGGACTGTGGGAGGAAACTGGAGTACCCAGAGAAAACCCAAGCTGACATTGTGGGCTCCCCACCCAGGCATTCAAACCAAAACCCTCCTGCTGTGAGATGACAATGCTAACCACTGCACCCTTTGCGCTGTAGCAGGGTTCAAAGAACCATTGCATTGCTGGGTTTGTCTTGTGGTAGTGGTGGTGGGTGCCAGGTGAGCGTAGGAGCATGTCATGTAGGCTCCAAGTGGAACGTGGCTGCAGCTATAGGCCTACATGTCACTAGGAGGACGCCATCAATGTCTGCATCTTGTACTGTCACAAGCAGGAGCCTCTCGTCTATGAGTAGAGGCCACTTCCTTCTGTGCAGTGATACAGTTGGTGGGTGTAGTTGGGGTGAGAGAAAATAGTTCCTACATGAAACTGCTCACAACAAGGGTCATGATTTCTGGAAAGAGACGTTGCTGTTGAGCCGAGTGCCATCTAGTTCCATTATATTGGAGAGAAGGCAGACATC